GTTCAAGGCATTATGGGATGTTGTACTGACGGAGCAGAGGGCTGATGGAAGACAGTCGCAATCGCCCTCTCCTCATTAGATGCAGGGCTGACTGTGCTCATTAGGCCGGCGGCAGCGCAGTGGGGATCTATTCTCCTGAGGTGACCAAAGGTGCTTACACAGACCTTCCAAGTCTCAGTAATGATGCCCCAGACCTGTCACTCTTGTCACAAGACTGACATGACCTTTTTCTGGCTCGTGCGCCGAAGAAAAAAATAAAAAAAAAATCCTAATTTCACCGAATGAGGCAAGAGAACCCCCTCCTTTTTTATTTTTTCCTCCCCCGAAATGTGAAAATCTGCCCAGTTTTCCACCAGTAAGTACAGTACAGTACATGTACAACTTTCCAAGGTGTTCATGCACCTTCCATAAGAAGTCGACAGAGACTATTTCCTGTGAATTTACTGGTGATTAAAGTGATTGCAATTCAGGTTTTAATCCGAGCAAAAAAAAAAAAGAAAAAAAAGAAAAAAGCCAGACCTTGCCATTAAGACCTATGAAATAGCGGCATGCTGAGCAGCGACAGAGCGGCTGAATAGATGTCTGGAAGCAATCTATGAAAGATGGCTGATCAATGGCTGCAAAATAAAATAGGAGATGAAAAGACGTCTTTTAAGGCCCATGAAAAGGAAACTTGTTGGAGGGGGTTTTGTTCAGCTTTCCATTTTTAACCTCAATCATCTGAACACGGCATAAATGAAAGGGGAGAACGATAAGACAGTAGCCCACTGTGGCTTTCTTCCTCTGATGTCAAGTGCCGCCAGGACTCTTATGTAACTGTAACCCTTTAATGGATGAAGTGTATGTTTTGTTTATGCTGCAAACATGAGCTTTAAATGTCCTCATGCATGTGACTTTTTCATTAATGCTGAACTGCTTTTTGTTTTCTACACCGGCGAACATGCTGACACCAAAAAGAAGAAAATCTTAATGATAATAAAATGTAGATGAGATCACATCAGTCTCTAAATTGCATTAGGTACCCATGCCATGTGAAACAATGTGGTCAGATCCGGTCCTCACAGGGGCCTTTCTAAACAAATCCTGATTGTAATGGGCCACATGAAGTGCCAATTTAGCCCCACACGAGCTCCAACATACAAATGAGAGCGAGCTACAGCGAAGACATACATTAATCCTAGCCAGATTGGGGACTGTATGAATTATGCTAAGAACCTTATCTGTTATTTCCCCTGATCTCCTGCTGGGTGAATTGATTGCGTTTTTGGTCTTAATCCGCAGCATGCCATGCATCTTGGGAGACAACCAGGGAGCCATCTTGAATAAATAGAATTTGGACTTGACAAAAGCCATCTCCAGCTGAGCACTGAGAAAAGCATCCTTTTAGCACTGCACATCCCCTACGATGCCGGATGACATTAGAAAATGGCCAGCCACGGTTTACGGGTGGAATTGTCGTATCGATTTCTCTGTTACTCGCTTCAGCTGCAGTTTTCTCCTGGAATATCATTTTGGAAAAGAAACGCCTTCTGTTGCGACGGGGCCCCAAAGAAACATCTCAGCGCAACCAGAGAGGCTGCTTTAATGAGATTAATTAGATCGCTTATGAGTGATGGTCCTCCACCAATTACCTGGGCCATAATACCATTTTCCTCCACCCAGGGCGTCGCGCTCTGCCGAGCGGTGCCAGCGAGAGGCTGCAGCAGGAGATGATTAATCATCTCATCACCATCCCAAGAGATAATATGACAATAAAGACAAAAGCCTCTCGTCGGCTGCGGCTGTTTAAAGCCAAGACTACCTTCCTAAATGTTGACTCCAGAGTTCAATTAGACGATACAGATCCAGCCTTTAAGAGAACAAGCTTTCTGGATGTTGTAACACAACACGGCAGAGGTCTGACTCGAGGTCCGTTCCTTTTTCTATAATGAGGTTCTGCACTTCACATTCCTCCAGATGACAGAATATCAGAGGTGCCGTACCTTTTTCTTTTTTTTTTTTCTCTTTCCATCCCTGGAGGAGTGTGGCGGCGGGGGGTACGGCCTTCCTCGCGTCTATTTCCTTTTCCTTGCTGAAGGGCAGCGAGGGTCACAGACACAGAGGGTTCACAGCGGAGAGTATGGCAGCCAGGAATCAAACCACAGCAGGATTCAGCCACGGATTGGAGAGCCGACGGCTGCACGCAGCGCTCTGTGCCGGGCTTTTATTGGCCCTTCTCCATCACACCTGTCACACAAGATTGGGTTTGTAGAAGCGCTTCCTTCAGCTGAAAAGGCCAAAGTAGATTATGAGGGCAGGCGAGGTTGAAATGGAATAACCAGTGGAATGGCGCCAAATCTAACGCCTTGCTGTCTGAATGCAAATCATGATTGAATTATGAATGATTTGTATAGTTTACTGTCAGTTCTTGCCTGGTTGGAACAGCACACATTTTCATGTCACAGACCCCCTGAAAGGACACATTTTGTCAGCGCAACCTATGGGGGGGGGTGATGCTGAAAATGAAACCTACCATTACATTTTTATACATAATATAACGTCTTTAATTGAGGAAATTCCTATGGAATTGAGTTATAAAGATATTAATCTATTTCTCAATTTGCTGTGGACCCCGAGGAGCCCTGCTGAGGCCCCTGGAGGTCCTCTGACCTACATAGAGAAACACGTGTGTAACTCTGATGATGGCATGTAGAGGTGGATTGGTCCATCTCTCAGTTCATTCCCTAACCTGTCATAAATGTATGGTTTCATTTAAACAAAAGCCATTTCTTCAAACAGCTGAGCACGGAAGCGTTTAGTAAACGTTACTTAAAACACGAGCAGATAGCGTTTTTGTTGGGGACTATTTTCAGCTGCGGATTAATACACATTTGGTGCTGTAGTGAGTATTCACAGCTGCTAGAGTAGCTAACCTGCCCATCCTTTAAATGCACCTCACTTTTCTGTACTCTTATGTATTTGTCATTATATATATTCAATACTGTGCAATGTTTCTGAGTGAAACCGAGACAAGGATTTAAATCACCATGGGTGGGGCTTAAGATAGCAGGATAGGAAACCGCTCACCTCCACCCACACCTCCCGAACCAGTGTTATTAAAATCAGGGTTGAATGAATAAATTAGAGCTAAACTTGCTCCACTAGCTGATCACACTGGTTGTACATGATGGGCGGTGTTAGCTAGTCAGAATGAATTTGATTGATCACTTTTGACTGAGTTCAAATAAAATAAAGCTATTTCACAGGAAGAGCAAAAAGGGTGATTTTTATATAAAAATACTCAAAAATTATATTAAAAAAAATATATATTTATCATGTTTAACAAGAGATAGATGATGATGATAAATCTTTCAAGCGTATGAGATTTCTGTTGTGTTAATTGTGTTTAATTTTGATTTCACAGTTTCACAGCCTTGGTGTTTTTCTTTCCAGCACTTATTTTGCAACTCTACTTGCATTTTCTTCAGGCGGCGCTATTTTTCTTCTCTCGTCTTTCCTCTTGTCACTGGTAGTGTGATTTTCTAACTATATGTCATTATTTCCGCTACATATTTGCCCGGCTAATTTTGGCCATGTGACGTTCACTGGATGCTGTGTTGCTATGTAACCTGTTGGACTATCTCTGCAGCAGTGGCACCGAGGCAAAGATGTTGATTGCACTTGATGGAGAAAAGAAAAAAGAAAAAGTGAGTTGGGTTTTGCTTCTGATGCTGACTTTAAAAAACGGGAGGGGTGTGTTAGACAGAGAGCAAACACGCAGACCTCTGCAGCCGTCCGTCGGTGCTCGAGTCTATCTTTATTACTGTCATCACCTGCGGAGGTAATGTTTTTCCTCTGGGCTGATAGGTTGTCCAACGCAAACAGTGTCACGCGGATGCATCACCGCTCTTTACCCAGCAGCCCCTCTGGGAAGAACATGAGACGTCTTCATCTGGGTGCTGCCTCATTATGGCTCCGTCTGACACACACACACACCACTTCCTCCCTCTTCCAATATACACTTCTCCTCTGCCAAACACACACACACACACACACACACACTTTTATTTGTGTAACGCACGGAAACACACTCAGCTACACTTTCCCTCTGCCCTCCTTCTTCAATCACTTTCTCTCTCCTGCACACACACACGTGCACACACACACACACACGTGCACACACACACCTTTTGGGTGTAATAAAACAGCAGATCAGAGTCATTGGCTGCTGACAGGGACTGACACTGAAACCTGCTGTTGTTGGAAGGCTGCCTGGGAGATGTTCATTACTCACAAAGCTTGTCGGTTTGGACAGGAGAGGAACAACGGTCTTATTAAGTGGAGACCTGGAGCAGCCGTAGGGGAAATACACATACACCCACGCTCGCACCCACATGGGCTCTGAGAAAAAGTTTGAGGCTGTGGCTTCCACCGAGCGCTCCGATTGGCCGAGAGAAGTTGGGGCTGCCAGAAAAATGTCAAACTTTTCCAGCGATGGCGGAATGTGCTGAGTTGGTAGTTTGACGCCGCTGACAAACAGACAAATCGTGACATGACAACATCTGCGACGTCGACGACGGAGCCCCGGCCTCAGAGGGGGAAGTAAAACTCTGCTGCGGAGGAATGTGACGGCCTCATTTTCACAGGAGCCTGCTGGTATTGATTGGAGTTTCTGATGTCTGTCTGGCTCATTGTATAACTCTCACAAGAACAGATTCAATATTCCCGACATTGCTGAACCTGAAGCCTTGTTTCCATAGTAACTCTGCTCTCCGTCTCTCTAAACATAGCCCTCCTGACTGACTTTAGCTCTGTTCAGATCATCAAGCACAGCTGAAGAGGAGGTAGATGCGTGGACGTGGACAATGATGTTCCTGACTTGAGGCAATGAAACGATTTGCGAGCTTGTCAGAGCAACCAACGTCTTGGTGTATTTACAGTCCAAACCGTGGTTAAAGCACCGGCGGAACAGAAGGAGACACATGAAACAAGATGAAAATAGGTTTTTATTTCACTCAGGAGCATTCATCTATCATCCAAAGGTGGAGGAAATCACAAGGTGCTACTTGTTGTCATTGAGGACACTTGGTTGTGCTTTCTGCCGTGGAGTTTTTAATCACAAAGCCCCCGCTTCGTCTCTCACCTGCTACTTTCCACCAAGTTTGCAAAATCTTAAAATAGCAGCATCTTTCCAAACAACCTGCTCCATTTCAGCCTCGAGCAAAAAAAGGGGGCCGTCATAAATCAAAAAACTACCGCACTTGTGACGGTTCGGGGACGAGAGAGGAGCTGGCTGAATTTGCATTTGATGTAGTCGTCACTTGTTTTTTTTTTTTTATTATTTTAAGGTAAATCTCCGCCGCGACAGCTTTCCCCCCCGCAGCGGAGTCCAGCAGGACGGAGGCGATATCATCGGAAAGTGAGGAAGAAGAAGTAGAAGAAGACGACGAGGCGACTCAAAGAAAAGCTGGCCTTTTATCCTAATCTGTCACAGTGAATGGCATTTGTGATACCTTAATGTGAGGTTTGACTCATGATGCATCCTCGTCCAGACTGTCAGAAATCATGTCAACAATTTGATTCAGGAGATTTAACACTTTTACAACCCTTACTAAACCTTTGTGTCGTCTCATTTCCTGATGAAGAACCTACTGATGTCTGACGCAACCTTGGAGGCAGCGGCACTCTTCCTCATCCTGTTCCGTTCTTTGGCTTGCTGAGCCGTCCTCTGTGGAGAAAAATGGAACATGATGTAAGAGGTTAAATCTGCAGTCGGCGCAGAAGAGAAGAGTGAGATCAATATATCGAGCATCTTTAGATTAAAGTGTCTGAGCGGTGGCATAAACAGCGGAGAGGATCCCCTTATCAGAACACCCAGTTCTCCACATCAGTTTATATACGTCAATGTAGGAAGCATCTCCGTCCAAACTGACACCCACTCTGGCAAAAACGCTCCCCGCCGTGACAATAAAGCACATTTTAGGTTACAATGGGTTTTATTTTGAAACCTCTGCCGCTCAAATCAGTTCTGTTTTTAAGAAGTGAATTGTCTGTGATTATGAAATATTGACTGAAGGAGCCCATGAAGGAAAATGTTCCCAAGACAGATATATAGCATTTTGCTGCAATTGCTATAGATCAACATGTCATCCAACCACATCATGTGATGTTATTACAGAGAATATCTATATAGCTTTGTGAGGGATGGTACGACTTTTGATCTATGTGTTTGACCATGTATCACATTACCGCCATCGCACATGATCCTCAACATGAGTGATGAGACTTTCTTTTTATACGTGGATAAAGGAGAGGTCCATCCACTGTGCACCTTAAACGTTAGATAAATTGCCTTGGCCCCTTAAGCCCTTGCGGTTGTTATGGGTGCAGCGATGCGGAGTGCGCACGTACGGCTTTGTGGCAGACGGTGCAGAGCGTCTGCAGGTTGTCCAGAGAGCACTGCCCGCCTCCGCTGTAGACCGGCCGGATGTGGTCGACCTGCCAGAAATCCCCTTCGACCGGAGCGCGGATCATTTCATTCAGCTAGAAACACACAGAGAGAAGAAGAAGAAGAAGAAGCGGTGAGCGTCTCGGTGCACTGACTACCCTCGGATGTTTTCATAAAGCGCTCTAAATTGCCAAAAACAAGCTGTGATTGCGCTGCCCTTCCTAAACCATCCATCTATGCTGGAGTTAATTTTTTGAACTGATGTTATTTCTTCAGCGGAGCTCAGTGTTTCTGAGTACTGTAGTGACCTAAATTGTTGTTTTACAGCACACAAATGCACAAACACAAAATCAGTCATATCAAACAAATCTCTGCACCGCAGGGGCACTTCTGCATTGTGCTTCACAATAACAAAAAGATAAAAAACAAATGAGACAAGCAAAGCACATGAATGTCAGAAATCTACAGCGGTAAATAATGAAAACAAAACGCAGGAGGCTCCTGATAAAGGTTTAAATGCTGAGATTAATGTAAGCCCATGTGACTGTGAGGATAAGACCAGTTGATGAAAACAATAATTGCACTGAATCGATGGCAGTGAACTTTGGCTTTCTATTATCCATCGCATCCAACAGATGCCTCAGGAGCAGCCATATAAATCACCAAAATGCTTATGGCCTACATAATGGGCAGCTGTTGGGAAACTTAATCAGTGAGCAGTTGTGAGTCTACCAGACAAAGACAGAGAAATTAGGTTAAATAAACCACAGGGAATAACATGCTACAACAGAATATATGCTCCTAAATTCCTCAACTTTTTATCACTCTTTTTGTTTTGTTTGTTGCTGTAGGACCAAATGTGTAGATCATTTTCTTTGCCTCTGAAGACTAGTCCGCTAAACTAAGACAGTGAGCAACACCTGCTAAAGCATGTGACTGATGTTATGTGAGTTTTTATGTACTTAAAAACAAACCTAACCTCACCTGAACCCAGACGCCGAATGTTAGCATGTTAGCACGCTAGGATGAACGCTCGAGCTAAACATAAGCATGTTTAACATCGTCATTGTGAGTCTACAAAATGGTTATACACTGCCAGAATATAAAGTGCGATAAACAGCTGTTAATGCTAACGCTAGCTACGTAGCAACAGCCAAACTCACAAATAGCTCCTTGAAAGCAGCTGCTTTATGTTTTGTAAGGTTTCCTTACTAGTCCTGATTTAGCACGCTAGGATGAACACTGTCAACATTCGAGCTAAACGTAAGCATGTTAGCACGCTGATGTTAGCATTTAGCTCAAAGCTGGACAGCCTCAAAGTCTGTCAACTCTTAGTCTTGTTTATATAACATGTCTTGATGCTAGTTAATGGTGTAGTGCATTATTGATTAATTAATTAAAAATTTTTTTGATGAATTGATTAGTCATTAAGTCGACCAAATGCTATGTAGCAACAGCAAAGCTCACAAATAGCTCCTTTAAAGCTTTACATTTTCAACATAATTGCCTGGCAACAACTTCTCAATGAGTTAAATGTACAGCATACCTATCTGTTTAATGTCACTCATTTAATTCAATCACACAGGAGATGCAGATAAAAGGAAGGAGATGAATTTGATTTTGAAGCTTTGACACAAAAGCTGACCTTGCTGGGGCCTCGTTTTTTTCTATGTATCTTTACAGCACCGGATTAACTGAGGTCTAGTGGAGCAGGGAGGAGACACTGTGAACAAAATGACCTGGAAACTGAATTACCACAATCTTGTATTTTGAAAACCTGAAAAGAAATAATAAGGAGAGAAAGACAGAAACAGAAAAAAGAAAAAGAACAAAGAAAGGACGACAGACTTAAAGAGAGAATACAGAGAAAGCAAGTGGAAGAGCAAAGGATGATTGAGAGAATTAGAAACAGAGAAAGAGAAGTCTGATGGGAGGAGTTCAGGGCCAAAAATCCATTTTCCTGCTTTGAGTGCTCCTCTGCCGACATTAAGGCAGCGAGCTGGAATTGATCCCAACAGATTTAAAGACCAGGCATGCTCACGAGGGCAGAGTTCACATCCCCACACACACACTCATACACACACACACACACACGCTCACACATTTCAGTCAATTCAACCTGCTTTTGTGTGAAAACCATGAATCTTGCTGCACCAGACCCCGCTACTACACACTTACACACATCGAAATTCTGCTTACAGGCACCTAAAGGCCATAATACAAACCGAAAATACGCACACACACACACACACACACATCAAAATACATATACATGCACAATACGTACACACCCTAAAGTACACAGCAAGACCCGTATACACATGTACACACACACACACACACCAGAACCCCCAGCATGAACCAAAGAATGAGCCTATAATCTTGAGGCTCCTCCACCGCTGCGGCGTCTTATCATGTGGCTGAGTTTGTTTCCTCTAAAGCTCGGTGCATCGATTGGTGCTGATGCTGCTGCCGGCGGCACTGGGAAGGAGGGTGGGTGAGTGTGAGTGTGTGTGTGTGTGTGTGTGTGTGTGTGTATAAGGGGAGGAGGAGGGAGGGGGGAGGGGGGAGGGGGGCTGGCTTTGCAGGATAACAGCCAACCAAATCAAACAGGCTTACTGGTCGAGGCCTGGCACTGGGAGAAAAAAATCAATGGGCCCAGCAATCCATTTACTGGGAGCTGGCCCCTTGGAGTGCAGATCAACCTGTGTGTGTGTGTGTGTGTGTGCATGTGTGCGTAGGTGGGTGGGATGGAGAGCACAGGGCACTTTTATTTTTGCACTTACACAAACACAAAGACAAAAAAAATGGCTTCCCTTGTCAGTTATTTAGCTCACATCAGGAGACTGGTGTTAGCCATGATGGGTGTATTGTAGCGTGTTTTAATATTGTCGATCCAATAAACTATTATATACAACGTTATTGGCTTGTTAATACTGATGCAACAACATGTGAGGTACAATGTACTGTTCTAGTAGCTTTAGCTAATTTTAACTACTTCATATAAAGTTATTTTATGCCAGTGGTTCCCCGCTGAGAGGTCGTGACCTTTCCAAAGATCAAGATAAATCTGAGGGATCATCAGGTGATTAATGAGAGACCAAAAAAAAAAAAACACAAAGTTCTGCAACTCAGATTTGTTTGACCTTTTCCCTGATCTTTTCATTTTAAATCTTTGGATCTCAACCAGTTATTAAAAAGAACTTATCAAAGAAATTTAAAGGGAAAATGTATCATATTTTCAATGTAAAATCTTTAAACTTTAAAGAGATAAGCTTGATATTTTTCTTCTGAGAAGCGATCTATTATCTTTGTTTAATCAATATTTGTTTTTAGCAGCCTTTAACGAACACCATTTCCCATAAGGCCTAGATGTTTACAGGCAGCTTGAGAGGTGAGTGGAGGTTTAGTTTGTTTTTCAGACAGCAGAGATCACAGCTAGGATGTTGTAAAAATGCCTTTAGAGGAGAGCGAAACCAGGTCCCCATCATGTAAATACCTGCTTGTAGTTATTTTCATGGGAGCTGTAGTTTTTTCTGTGCATGCAAGTCTCCTTTTATTAGCTATTATATATTTGTATCTTATAAAATATCATTGGTTTCCTTTGCCCTGGTGTCCAACCTGTTTGAGTGACAGCTGGGCGAGCCAGGTGTTCTCCAGCATCTCCTTGCGCTGGGAGGGCAGAGCGTCGCGGACCCTCAGGAACAGGTCGTGGGCGTGGAGGCCGCAGTGCTGACAGATCCCCTGCTCCGTCTCCAGCACCCGAGAGCGCATGTACGTTTGGCTGGAGCGCAGCTGGAACTCCTCCTGGCACCTACAGGCGGGAGAACGTGGAAAACATCTGGATTTTAATCTACACATTTACATTTTGAACATTAAAATTCCTCCTTGTTTATTTTCATAAACAAAGGAAAGTCATTATGTTTTTCACTTTCGTCTGTGCTCCTTTCTGCGGAATCATGTGTTAAATTTTGATAACATCCAGGCGGAGAGAAGTGAAGTATCTCACCTTGACTGAATGACCTGCATTTGGCTCTTGAAAGCCACTTCAGGAAATTGAATTTCTACCTTAAATAGGTAGCAAGACTAAAGGGACGCACGGGCGCAACACATTTTATGAGACGTAAGAATTTAGCTGACAGTCTTATTCAGACTGAGCGAGTGAGAGCAGGAAAGGGTGAAGGGGTCTTGCTCAAGGACATAAAGACATTTCAGACAATGAACCAACAGCATTTCTCCATTTTGTGTTAAAGTATTCTTTATATTGGTGTTAAAATGCAGAGATTAGGATTTGAGGACGGTTAGGGAATGTGCCATTATAACAGTAAGAGCTGCGGTCTGACAACGTCCTCCAGTCATCAACAGCCATCTTATTTCTACAAAGCAAACCAAGGTGAATTTATCATTGTACTGTTGTGTTTTTGGGTTTGTTTTGGTGCACAAACTCTCAAAGCTTCGACTATAATTGAATTTCTTGGTGCCAGATGGGTGGGCTTTGGCGCAGAGAACAATGAGTTGTGGAAAGTTTAATAAATTACATACGCAAACTGTTGGAAAGTTAATTTAAGATGCTCCTTCTCTGATTGACAATTTACCAAAGACTGCCTGAATTGTCCCATCGCAGTAAACTCCACCCATCTGGTGCTCCGAGCAGGGAGTGCTGAGATTTATATACGTCTGCCGTTTTACACAAGTTGGCTCCACACTTTTTTTTATAACTTTTTAAACACCTCTCAACTCTGGAAAAACGTCAAATTCATCCCTTAACTGGATGTGTTTACAATACCTGTGGCTGCAGAATCGAGTGTCCCAGGCCCCACCGGTGGAGGAGCAGGCCTGCTGGCAGGACAGACACAGGGGGACACCTTCAGTGTCCACAGCCTGCAGGTAACCAGCCTGTGCTGATGGCTGCTCCTCCACTGTCTTACAGTCCTCCTTGTCCTGCCTGCACAAACAGAAACAAGAGATTGACTCCATTTAGACACTGGGACAAAGGGCTGGGTTCATTCCTTGGCTGCTCAGTCTCATCTTTACCTTTAACCTCAAAGAGATTCCAGTTTAAAAGACTGCCAGTGTTTTGTTTGTCCAACTGGTTACCTTACCCCAAAATCTATCTCAAGACAATTGGAACCTAAACCTTGCATGTGGGCTTTTGTATGGGGGTTGCAGTTTAAGCTACAGCACTTCAAACAGTTGAAGTGTTAGTTGAAGTTGAAGCACTGTCAGGATCTGGAGTGTCTGTTGAATTATATACAATTATCTAATTATCTCCTCTCTGTCCTCATTCTGCAGGTATCTCTGACTCTGGAGCGGCAGGATATGATAAATTCAGCATCATGTAAATCTCCACAGCAGAGTCGGGTTTCATGGGGAAAAGCAGAACCGACCGGAAAGCATTAATGCATGACAAAAGGTGGTTCTCTTTAAGGGTCACAACATCGATTTTAAACATAAAGGTCATTTTACTCGTCGTGGAGACTACGATTCAGCCTCTGAGAACAGTTGTAAAATGTCCTCCGTGGCTCTGGAGGAGCTTTCTAAAGTGTGAGAAAATAACCCTGATGATCGGGGGCCATCTTGACTTGGGCCTACGACTTTAAATAGTTGATAGAAAATCTCTACCAGACCAGAGGCATGATGTTTAAAAGATGAAGGCGTTTAGGAGGAGGCAGGAGATACTAGTGGGGTTGCATGATGGGAAATTTCTAAAGTTTGACGAACGCTACGCACTAAAAGTCCGATCCCCCTTACTTTACACGAGTGCAATAATAAACTGCTGCAGTTACCCTTTAAAAAAAAAAGACAACAGAGCGATGAGAGTGATTCTGTTATTGTGATGCAGAAATATAAATGACCCAGAATTTATCAAGCTAACAGGTAAACACAGAGGATTTGTTGAATTTGCATTGACAGTAAACAACATCAAACAGCGAAATTTAAAAGAGGGGAGATCAGAAAACAGAGACGTTTTTGTAAAATATGATAAAATATACTCATGAACCTGGGGAAATTATGAAAGCCTGTCTCTAATATGAGCCTTGTTATTTAAGAATTTATGACAGGTCAGTGTACATGCTAACACTGTAGGTCTAAATACACACAAATTCACAACTATTTCCAGTGTCAGAAGATAAAGTGCAGCACATCAAATGCTGCTAAATACATTTATTTACTGTCTATATATTTAATCTATGTTTATACGATAAAGTTTTGATGGACATTTTTGCACTAAATTTCAAAGAGAAGATACCTTGACCCGTTTGACAGACATCAATCTGTAATGTCTGAGTGTAAACCTCGGCTCTTTCAACATCAGCAGAACAGCAAACACAATTCAATATCTATTTACCCAATGAAAAAAATCTGTGCTTGCTTTGTGCGCTGCAGATGCAGAGTTGAGAGACCTATGGCTGTGTGAACTGTCTATATACTGTGTGTGTGTGTGTGTGTGTGTGTGTAGTGTGGATGGGGATCCAGAACATTTCAAGTATGTGTATGTGCGCGCCCTCCCCTTTTGGCAGAGGACGGCGAGTTTGGGCATTTGCCATGTTGTCCCAGCAGGGTGCTAGAGCCACGATGGAGGGGACAGATGGACTAAATTCTCTTTCCCCGTGGTTTACAATTCAGACAGACAGAGAGCGGAACAAAGAGCCAGAGAAACGGAGCGCTACAGAGGGAGATTTAATCATTGAAATGGAGAAGAAAAAACCCTCTAAAAAAAGGAACCTCGCCGCTTCAAAGTTGAGAAGATACCAAAAACTGGAAGTACCGAGAGACAAAACGCTGTGCCAGCAACGTCTTGTGGATGAAAGAGAGACCGAAATAGACTTTTTACTGGTGCGCCCAAACTGAGACTGGTGAAAACATGGCACAAAAATTAATCCAGAAGTATTTGGCTGAATGTTGAATGCATTAGCCAGAAAGCCACAATCAAACATCATATTCAAGAATGAATATTTGTTAAAATTAACTAATATATGTACTTTACATGAGGCTTCAAAGTCATTTAAATTCATATATGCACAAAGCAAGTGAGCATGTTGGCAGCTCTACATCGCAGCATGAGGTAACTCTCTGAAAACTCATACTTCAAACCCCAGAAATCACGCAACATGCCTTCAGCAAACGGCACACAGCCTGCTAATGTTTACCACTGCGGCTCATCTCTGATGCTTCATACCAAAGGAAACCAAAGGCACTTGGGGGGGGGGGGGCTGGTTAAGTCCACCTGTCAATGGATGGAGCGCTCGCTCACTGTTGGTCAGGAGGCAGAGTCGATTTTATACATTTTTTGTTTTACGTTGTCGCTTCTTGTGGAGAACAAGGTGACGACACCGGACCAGTGCATCTCAGTTTGAGCATTAGCAATATTAAATATTTATATTTCCCAGAGTAAGCTATTGTAAATGTGTTTTAATAATCCTTAAATCAGCAATACCCATCACATAAATCGCAGGTTTTTGGTTTTAAGTTCCAGATTCCAAATAATGCAGGGACATTTTACTGTTCCTTCAAAATAAAAGTTTGACATTTTGGGAAATAGCTTTATTGTGTTAAATTATCAAATTATCTTTTCACGTTACGATGCTACCTAATAGCATGTTACCTACAATTCTTTGTTACAGAAATGGTATCGTTGAGATTTTAACAGTACTACTTTTAGCAATACTGCTTATTGATCTGGTACTCTTATCGCTACTGTTTGTTATTTTGGTTTCGGTATCCATCCCTACTCCCTGAAATGCGTCCTTCGTTTTCCGGGTCAACGAAGGATCCAGTGGGTGGATCGTTCGCAGCCAAAAACTATCCCAAGAATCATTGCTCCCCGGCGATTAATCACTTTTCAAAAAGAGAATATGGCAGACTCCGCAAATAGCAGTGAACATGTGTGTGTAGTTGTGTGTACATGTGTGAGTGTGTGTGTGTGCATGTGTGAGTGTGTGTGTGTGTGTGTGTTCATTGCAGGTTTCCATAGCGATATCCCCTCCTGCGGTGAGCTGGCCGTTGCATCTCAACCCAGTAGATTGTATTATGATCTATATTTACTGTACTAACACAGTGAGTGGGCCTTTGTGCCTCTCCCACAAGGCACATACAGATCTCCATGGCGACAGCTGAGGGAAGGAAAATGAAAATACACTGAATCCCAAAGAGGAAGCCACATGATGAGACAAACTAGCTTCATGTACAGACCATGAAACCTTATCTTGAAAAACCACAAACGAGTGCACGAGTATATATCAAATGCACCGCTGTTGTCGTTTTTACACTCATCAGATGTAGAAAGATTTTGAGCTTGGAGGATATTTCCTGACGACTTTTAAAGACCTGAGGACACCCACGCGTTTGCCCCTTTAACCTACCTCTCTGAAGCAGGTGGTGTTAATGAAGAGGCAGACCTCCTCTTTGTGAAGAACTTTTCCTTAGCGACCAGTCGGACGCTGCCCCCCTCCTGCTGGACCTTGCTCAGGGAGGCCTGGGCTACTTCGTCTCTGCTGAGGTACCTGTGAAAATGGGATAAACAGGGCTGTGAGGGAGCGGAGGATTTTGTAGATGTTATATAACAGGAGAGCCCGATGAAGAGAGCTGATTCACATGTCGAGCGTTGGGGGAGCAGTTGCAAGGAGATGGATTCATAAACTTTCTCTTGATAGCATTAGCACCAGGTAAGATAGGAAAATTTAATGTTGCACAAACCTGCTGGTTATCTTTTTGGGAGTGTAATCCTGGGACTCACTCACATCAATATAACACACACACACACACACACACCAACACCCACAGATTTGCCAAAACAGTGCAATGCCAGATGCACTTTTATATTTTTCTTGGCACAAATCTGTGCTTAAACGCAGAAATTCCTCCTTTCATTGCTTATTTTCTATTCTGTTTGCGTGCTTATATTCTGTTTGTCCTCTTCCCCTGCTGAATCCCATTACTATTGCTGCTGCAGCAATCTAATTTCCCCACAGGCATCGTCAATCATCTAATCTAATCCATCTACCCCACTACTGTTTTTTATGGCCCCTTGTAATACAGATGCTAGGTGTGCAAGTCGAAAATTGCATGAAACACTACATGTCAATCTGGGCGGGATTAAAATGACCCAAGGATGTCAGAGTTGACAAGAAATACAGGAGGGGAGCTTGAAGGGGGGGGATCACTGACTTCTTTGTTCTGAGTGTAAGAAAATGCTCTGCATCCTCAGAAAAGAGAGAAAATGTCCCCAGGTAACATTACGGCTTTCCAAAGAGGAATGATGTAACAAACTAATAGTCCCAGCGGAGCAGTTATCTTTTCTATTTCCTCCTCTACAGGGAGGTCGGACTTCATATTAGCGGCTCATCCAGTCACACAGGTGAAATTAAATACAACTGGAGTTTTTACAGTTATTTTATAGATATTTAATAAAAGCCATCCAAGGTTTTAAGTTCCATCCATGTGGTGTCTGTGTGAGGATTTTTGCTGTATGTGTGACATTTTGCTGCGTACTTCATTCTAATTGGATAACAGCCAAAAATTCAGCCTGTGCGTACGAAGGCTGTGTGGTTTTATTTTTTTTTTAACCCGGTCCAAGGCTCTTCGAGTTGTTCAGCTGCTGTTTCCAAGCTGCATCTTCTGCTCCTGAAGTAAGAAAACCTCAGTCAAGATCACAGACACTTGTAGCTCCACTAATATCTAAATATCCAGCCTTGGAGTTTAACCTTACTCCGTCTGATTTTATGAGGATGATAGTTTTGTTTTTAATCTGTTTTTTTGTTTAGCAGCCTTTAGGAAACTCTATATCTTCGCTGGATAAACACATAAGAGGTGTATATAAAGATAGACGTAGCTTCTGTGACGTCACCCGCGGGTTTCTGAAGAGCGGTTTTAAAGCTCAGAGCGGTCCGCTGCACCGTCGCCATCTTGGCAGAGCCCCGACTCAGCCTGGGAAAAGACGTGGGGGCGTGTGTGCATACGCTCACCCGCCTGTCACTCAAACCAGCCACGTCCTCAATTATACATAACTTTAAGCCTTAATAAAATCGAAACGGGTGAGCTGTATATGAGAGAGGAGAGACTGGACGGAGAGACAGGAGGCAGCCGCGGCGTGTTGTGGCTGTTTCACAGACAATCAACTCCGGTGATGAAACTGTTCACTAATTGTCGTGCGAATCAATAATTAATGGTGTATTTTCCGAGCACTTGTTCTGACAGCTACGTCAATTCTTGAACTTAGTTTGTTGAAACTTTATTGCTGGAGGACAAACAGTCGCTCTGCCACCGCTGAAATAAAATCAATATCTGGCTCGGCTCCTAGAACTATAAGGCATGTAGAAAAATAAACTTACACTGTTTAACTACAAAGAAACATTTACTGCACAGAAACAGACATAAAAATTGCCTGTGATCATATGTAGAATATATGACAAAGAATTTTGTCTCATCCCTTTACAGGAATGTAATATATACAGTATATGTACCTATATCAAGAGTGATGTTGCCATATAGTATTATTATCACATATATATATATACGTTATATAAGTTTATAACATATATGAAATACCCATAGTAAAATTTGTATATGTTTTTCTTATGAATTTCTTATTAATTTTAAACATTTATGCCCATATATAAAATTTCTAATAGGTTTTATACATAATTATTGTTTTGTTTGTTTGTTTGTAATGTTTTTATTCTATATGTACATACATTTCATATATGGAAATTCAGTATATGTATATATTTTACATTTGCGTTTAGGTGAAATGTCGTCCATGCCACAGAATCAAAATGTCACAGAAACAAAACAAAACATGTGATCAGTTGAAATGTTCACAGCGGTATTTACCATTACCTATATTCTCCAACTGAATGGACAATCAGCGGCTTATTGTAATCACTTTATATGAAAAGAAATTTGAATACAAACGGGTTATTTAATTCTACTTGGATGATTTCATGATGCATTTCTATGCTGATTACTAATGAAATACTAGCCTCCATGAAACACCCTGCTATTCGAAGAGGAAGGTAGTGCCTCTATTAAACTCTGCTTTTAGTGTTTCTGCCCTGCAGGCTGTGTAGTGGCATTTTAATGCATTTCCAACACCTCCATCTGGACAGAATACTTTCTTTGGGAGGGAGATGGAAAGAAGGTAGAAGGAGGAAAAAAAAAAATACTGATGACAGGAGGCAGAAAGTGGAAGAGGGAGACACATCAAAGGGGAGAAGTTTCTGTGGAAGCTGAGGGGAGATGAGGAAGAAGGTAAGTCTCCATCAAACACAAGAGCTTCCTTTGCTTCAAACAGTCCCAGCACAGAGGCTGCATGAAACGAGATACCTTACACTAAACTGGTGTCCAACTGTGCCTCTGGGAGAGTGTGGACTTGTGTGTTTGCATGTTCTTATGCAGCCAGCAGCTTGGACGGGTAATTCTGTGCATTAAGGTGTCTGCTGCTCCTTCCCAATGCATTACATTTTCAGCCACGACTCAAACCTTCAGGTTCATCCTTCTGGGAAAACCGTGGTTAATTTGAGACGAATATAAAACAGGAATAATTTTAGAACTTTTTCCATTAGGAGGTACATGACCAATACTAATTGTTTAGTCCAGTAAAATGCTAAATATGATGTATTAAAGCTGCCCTCTAGAGTTTTTGGCATGTAAAGGAGCATAGAAATGTGCCAACAAAAGGCAGCGAAGAAGAAACCTGCAAGCTATTAAACATGGATGCATGTTTTAAAATATTTAAAAAGGCAGTTTTGCTTGTTATAAACATAATTTTGTTTGTTCACATCTTTGGGAAATTCACATTTCCCTTTCTTGCCAGAGTTAGACAAGATGATTGATACCGCTTCAGACTGTATGCTAAGTAAAGCTAACTTAGTTTAGCATAAAGATTAGAAACAAGGGGAAGTAGCTAGTCGGGCTCTGTCCAAGAGAAACAGAATCCACCTATCAGCGACTCTGAAGCTCAGAAATTAACATGTTGTATCTTATTTATTTAAAGTGCAAAAATATCAATTTACAGTTTTAAGGAGGGTTATGTACCGGACTGTATGTCTGGGCTCCGCTGGTTGCTTGGTAACGCCTTTACTGCTGGTGAGAGTTTCATATTTAAGAAGAAAGCAAACGAGGATTTTTAAGTATTTTAAAATAATCCTCAGTAGTTAAATTAAATTAAATTTAAAAATGTCACACAGAGTTGTGCGTTGACAAAATGAGCAGCTGATATGATTTGTACTGGATTATCTGGACATGGTTTTCTGCAGGTAGCCGTATGATGCACAGCTGCAGGAGTGCTGCTGCAGGCCTGTGGCAGCAGCGGGTTGCTGACGGCGTACCTGCAGACCCGCAGAGCTGCAGACAGCAGCGGCTCAGCACCGGGGCCAGACCCCGCTCGGCTGTGTGAAATCAAGCTAACGAGCTGCTGCGCTCTTACACGACACATACTGCAACGGTCAGCCTCAGAAGAAGAAACATGGAGGTGCATATGTTGAACCATTAACCTGGCAGAGTTTAAGTTAACATAATAGTGTACAACAAAAATCAGTGTATTATAAACATGCAGTATCAAAAATCAGGCTCTGATATGATGAGAAGAAGTTAGAAGTTCAGTTTACTCATCATAAGACGGACGGTTTTTTGTGGCTCTGGAGAAGCTGCGAAAACCATCTGCCTTCTCTCAGTTTTGGCTTGAGACTTCAAATGTACAACAGAAAGCCTGTTTGTTTCAAACTGGGCGGGTGGAGTTTGAAAGATGTGGGCATTTATCAGGGAGGAAGATGCTATCAAGTTGCATAATGGGAAGTGTAGGATCCAGTGTTTTTTTGTTTTTCTTTTTGTTAGTGTGATTCATTCTAGGAACTAAAATTCGGGATATCTTGGCTGCTCTTGCTTCGATTTCGACTTTTCTTTTTAAAGTCTGTTTCTCACAGATTCCCCAACATTATGTAAGTGCTGCACTGAATCGCTGGAGCTTTAATGTAAACTGCTATTATGACACGATGTCAAGCGCACTACATATTCTCAACCTAATGTTTTCATTACTTATTATGTTGGTTTATACTATCCGTCTCCACTTACATTACATTACTTAAATTTTATCTTATTTTTATATTGTTGGCTGATGTACACAGTGAAAATAAATAAACAGTTAATTACATTAAATTAGCAATATGTAGAAAAATCACATTTGTACATGAAAAAAAAATCATGTGCATTTCTTTATTACGATGGCATATTATAGAAGCAATAAATCATTCATAGCCACTGTTTGCTGTAATTTCAGCAATGAAGCGTGCTTAGGCAGGATGCAAACCGGATTAAAAATCCTCTTGACTCGTCTAAAATCACTGCAAATCACCACGAGTGGCTCACAGCGAAAATATCCACAGTGTTGGAAACCCCGGCAAAGTGCATTAAGTTTGAAGTAGTTGAAAACTGAGCGTCTCAGTGCTGCGAAGGTGAGCCGTGATCGCCCCGCTGAGCAGAAGCTGGAGCTTGATTGGTTCTGATTAGTGAATAAATCAAACAGGTATCAAATCAAGCCGGGCCAATTGCCTCCTACTCACACCTTGATTAGGTTCATGCACCCAAACACGTTCCCCCGGTTGAGAAACACTCTCTCTCAGTTCCACAAACACATACACACACACACACACACACACACACACGAGTCTACCCTGTAATTGGCAAACTCTCCCAGCCTCTATCCACGCCAGCTGTAATTAGTGTGCCAGCAACAATGCTTGTTTGTCAAAAAACACACATGTGCACATGCACAGTGTTCATCCCATCCTCTCTTATCCCTCAGCTGACACCCTTTGATACACCCACACAGAAAATGCACACACACACAAATACTATTCAGCCTTCCATGACGCCTGGGGCAGTTAGTATTTACTAATCCGCTCATTTTGCTGTTAAATCTCACACATCGCTCCTTGAATTCTGACATAATGTTGGGAACTAATTCAATCCACCACTTCCACCATTTTAAAATTTAAACCAACGAGCACATTTCTTACTCACGAGGGGAAGACGTTTGTCCTCTTGTTTACAGATTTACAGATTTAATTGTGGAAATGTTTATTAATCTTTGAAGCGTTGTCTAAAACGACAACTGTTGCTAGCAGATTTTATCAGCTAGCTTGCTAATTGAGCTAACGACTGCTAGCTTGCTGATTAAGCTAGCTCCAAGAATTGGTTGAAAACACTGTTTCTGACCTTCTTTTGAATGTTTCCTGCTGACTTGTTTTTAAGCAAGAAACTTTAAATGAGAACGGTTACTACTACTTGTGTGATAAACGACTGAAGCTAAAGCTACATCCTCACCAGCTCCATGTTGACATGGAAACAGTATTTCATTTTTTACGTTACAAGAAAAAAGGTTCTCACACGTCATCTTTCCTCCGCTAATCCGGCAACCGTGTGTGTGACATCATCCAGTCCGTGACCGTTAGACCCCAGACTCTGCACCCCATTGCTTTCTTCACGGTCTCTCTTAAATAATCCCTCTTCACTTTCCCTTAGTTAGAGGTCAGGAGATACTACCTCACACATCACTTCCTACATTTGCATTTGTACATTTTTTCTATTCACTTACTGTGTATTTACCATTATTATTGTTATTATTATAGTAGTTTTTACTTTCTTACTTACTTTTTACTTTCCCTCTGGGGATCAATAAAGTTTTCCTGATTCTGATTCTGTAAATACGACGCAGTGGATGTGCTCGTCGTAGTTAGCTAGTTAGCCAGACATGCTAAAGATTGCAGGTTACTCTGGAGCAGTTAAACACACTCTTAAATCCATTCTTTCTGCTTTTGCTTGTGTGTTTTTTGGGGTTTGGAAAGGCTAAATCTCGCTCTGACTGTTCTCTACAAACACCACTCCAACATGTGGAGAAATCCATAGCTTGACAGAGCCGACAGGACTAGCCTCAGCTGCTATAGACTACGATTGGAAAATCACTGCCCTGAGGAGGGGTTTAGCAAACTATTAATTTGTACCAGAACGTTAAGCTAAGTTTTTGAAAGTCAAAGTAGCGTATTTCCTTCAAGAACATGTCTCCAGCTAGGATCTGACCTCTTGGTGCTCGAGTGAGGTCGCTGGGCAGAGGCCAGCTGCTGCAAGCCGAGAGTGGGGCTGTGGAAGAGGAGGCCGCTGCGACGAAGCAGTTTCTTCTTCATGGCTGCCAGGCTGCTCCACTCCTGAACGAACCTCAACACCTGCAGGGGGACACGACATTTATAGTCAATTTCAAGCTGGAACCAAAACCACTGGCGCCTTCATCTTCAACACAAATTGATAGTCTGGACATTGGAGCCTCCTCAAAAGCAAAAACATTTCTTTTTAACTTTTTCAATTTTGATAAAACACTTGGGCTGAAAACAAACAATCTGAACCTGCTGCGCACACATACACACTGATACACACAAGGAGACAGTTTTCCAGATAGCTGAACAAAACCCATCAAACCAAGAGAGAGCTGTATATGTTTTCAGCCAAATCAAGAATTCAAAGAAAATCCACTGGCAAAATAACAAATAGCACACGAAGCACCAAGGCCTAATGGGCAATTTACCTACATATATTACACTTGAGGAGTGTTTTTTTTTTTTTTTTTCCCATGAATGATACCTTCGCTCACAAAACGATTACATCTGCGAAGATAAAAACTCAATATGTATCATGCAGACACTTTTCAAAGCTATTACAACAGCCATTCTTGCTCTGCGGATGTTTTAACAGGTGAATCATGCACATTGTGACAGAAATATAACTTAATACTCCTTAAAAGCAAAGCACAGAAACTAACAACGATCCCAATATCACTGCGACAAGTTCCTTATTTTGTAACAGGAATAGATACAGAGTAGAACAAATTAAAGATAAGATAAGATAAACATTTTAAAGGCTTCAGCCACCTAGCTCGCACCTATTCCAACAGCCTGTGTGTGAGGCATTTAGGGAACATCAGTAAATTGGAATTACAGTCAAAGAAATTGGCAACAATGGAGTCAAAAAAAACAAAAACAAGAGTGAAACAGGAGTGAAAATCCACGTCATCCTATATATATGCACCACCAAACGTTAGTAGATAATAATACTGTATTATCCTCCTGCTGTAGTTTAAGATTAGGGCAATAAATTAGAGGCTGATATTATTACAGAAGCACTTAAGGCCAAGGGGAGATCAGGAGTCAAAAATACTGCAGACAGGATGGATGTGAAGTCATGACTGATCAATGAAAAGCTGCTCTACATACAGTACACTGGAGCCTCCTGACAGAAGTACAGTACAGGTAAAAGAAGCATATGTGATATACTGAGAAGTTTCCTGAGGCCTTACCCCAGAAGACGAGAGTCAAGGAGTCGAATCAGATGCGAAAAAGTCGTGACTGAGGAGGAGAGTGGGACGGTGTTTCCCACTTCCAGCCTCTCAAAAAGTCACAGGGGTTAATAGGTGAGTGTCAGACGGTGTGTGTGTGTGGGTGGAAACTCGGAGCGCTTTGATTTATCAAAGTGAAGCTGGACAAAGCTGTACGTTAATCATATCTACATCTCTCAAAGGAAAATGGGCAGTTACCGACAAGTACTGTGTGCGCATCCGAAGCCTGATACAATAGATCTGATTCCCTGCGTGCTCCGTATTTGTCCAAAAACTATTAAGACACGCAGTGTTTCACCGAGTGACACGTCCCTTCATCAAGACCCAATTACACCGGCATTTAAAAAAACATTTTCGCAGCGAAATCAGCTCATTCCGTGTAATTACAGTGCTCAGTTGATTCGCTCACAGGGACGAATTGAATTCAGGTTGACTTCATCTTTTGACACATGAATTAAGGCTGTTGATGAATCTTATTCTTCTGTAACTTTTGGCAAAAAACTATATATTCGAGACCCACTTTTAAACATTGATGTCTTCAGCAGGAACTGAACCATCCTGTAGGAACACACTGAAGAGGATGTACACGTTACACGATGTGACTATCATTTACGAGAATATATTATTTTTGTTTCACCTCCTTGAAAAGGACTTTATTTTAAGAAATACAGATTATTCAAACATGTTTTCTTAGGGAGCGCTTGGTCTCTGTGAGCGTGAGTTGAGTTGAGTTGATGAACCGCTGCCACCCCGTCCAAGACGTGCTGCTGCCCACGGTCAACCGCATGCTTAGTATTGATTCTGATGGACAATTGGAGTGTAACAGGGCGTAAATGATGGGTCAGAGGAGGGATGCAACTCACGCCTTCGTTTTACAAACCAACATAAACAACGTGACAGGTGGGGCGTCTGTCAGTGGCTCTATTACTGCCCCAGCAGATTGCAGGATTTAATATTAGCAGGTTGGCGTGTGGGGTCGTTTGGGGTGATGAGCCGTCTCCTTTAACGACCCTCATAAAATGGCACTTTCTCTTCTGCCGGTCTCCTTGGCTGCCTCAAACCCCCAAACCGCCCCCTCTCTTCTCTCCTCTCTCCATCACCCCCCAACCCACCCACCCACTCCTCCCTCTGCCCCTCCAGGCTCTGCAGTGGTGGAGGTGGGCGTCCACTCTCCACCTATCTGTCAGGCTGCTGATCTTCCTCCTCGTGATCAGCGGTGTCATTAGATTCACATGGCGGTGACACAAACATATCTGTTAGGTTTAATAACCCCCGCAGCCTCATCTTCTCCGGGTCAGAGGAAGTGGAGAGATAGCTCCACTGACTGTGATATCAAACTAAATTATCTTAGTCTAAAATTAAGGTGATCCTGAAGCAGCCTGTGGGCGCACACACACACACACACACACACACACTGACAAACACTCAACTACACTCGTGAGTATATGCAGAATTTCCCGTCATCTTGGAAACGGTGTAACGTCACAGCTAACCCGTCTCTCTAATCAATCATAAGAAGAACATATTGTCTAAGTCGAATCCTTTAAGGCGTTTTTTTTTTTTACGATAATGACATTAACTGGGTACACCTCCCACGTGGAAACACACCCACACACATTCATGAATATGAAAACACATGCAAGAGACACACACACACACACACACACACAGAGCCTGGCGGGAAGGGCAGACCTGTATTCGATTTTCCCGGCGCCGGCTGAAGGCCTCGGGCAGGTCGTCCCAGTTGGTTAGCTTGATGTCCAGAGGGACGAAGCTCAAGTTCAACGCAGCACCATCCTAACAGATGAGGAGACAGAGACGAAGAAGAAGACAGCCTTAAGCAGAAAGATTTGTTACTACTTATACCACCACCACTCGTAGTATGGCATCGTCTCCCTCCTCGTCAAATAGAGGGTCTACATACATGTACTGTGTGTCGTCTGTGCTTTAACTTTGATAATCTGCTTTGTTTCCTCCAACAAAAACAGATGCTGCAATTTCTTGCTGCAAAAAGTTTTGGATTAATTATTTAAGCTGAAATTCACAAATACTGCATGTTTATTTGATACTGCATGGTCAAGGTAAACGTCTGAAATACCCTCCGTCTCACACACACACCTCATTAAACACTCAGTGGTTCTACGAAGCAGTAAATGTTCCAGTGTATAGTGGCTCCACCGCACTACATACACGGTCCCTTCATGGTTCTTTTGGAGGTTCCTGCCTGGCTCCTCATGTTTTCCTGCCCAAACAGTTGGCGAGGCGTGGGACTGGGGCTGCTGACTCACTGGTGTAATCAAAGCAAACAGAAATACAACCACGCACGTTTACTCGCTCGGTGTCCTTCGAAAGTGAATGACGACGCAGCGGAGTTGTTGTTTTCCCTGCCTGACGAGAATAAATGTCATGGTAATATTGTAGTTATATAACAAACCGGAGGAGGAGGGATTGATTGAAAACAAACCGTCCTGATGCTGATCAAACAAATGCTACCTTTAGGAGTCAAACAGGGACATGAGAACAAATCTCAAGAGAAATTACGAGGGACAGTCTCCAGTTTCCACAGCTCTTCATGCATCGGATGATTGTTGTGCTACTAACTTGGCTGAAATATAATGAATGAATATATTTTTGGTTTTTAGTGCAATGTCTTGACAACTACTGGATAGATTTACGCAGGGATGCATCACCCTGCTTCCCTCGACAGAAAAAGCCGATGGGATTTTTACATTGAAATGAACAAAATAAATACAAAATCACTAGAAGTAAAAAGCTAATGTTAGGCTATAAACCAACTACACCACGGTCACACGAATTCAACGTCACCACCACTTTGAGCTCTTACCTCCTCGACACAAACCTTTCCGCTTACAAAGTTAGTAACAGTTTGCAAAAGCCTGAATAAAAAGACACTTGTGTGGCGCCGGGTGTAAGATCAAGGTCGCAGTCTTGTTTTTAAATGCACACCTGGAACATGTGGGTGTGAGAATCAAATTGTGTAACAGGCAGAGGATTGCCTCTCTGATTGAATCTCTTTTTTTGTTGTCGTTGTTGTTGTTGTTGTTGTTGTTGTTTACAGTACAAAACTTTATGGAAATCTGTTGGTTCCTGTGTGGCACATGTAAAAACAACAGAAACTGCAGTCGCTCTATAATTAGAAGCCACGTAACCAGTTTTGTTGCGTTTACATGCAATTAGTCTGTGCTAAAACTACAGGTATCTTCAGCCAAGCAATCAGATCTTTAATGACTAACTTGCAGAACTTGAATCTAATTATATCCACTTTATTCTTTATTGGTTGCCATGGTAATTCTTTGTGGTAACCAAGGCGCTTGTTAGTGATCTCTCTTGTTTTCTTCCCTTTATTCTAATATAGGTCCACTGCTTTGAAGATAATGCCTCTCTTTTGACAGGACACATGTATTAGTAGCAAAAAATAATGAGGATTATGAGAAGTGTAAAAACCATATACCCACAAGAATGTTCTTCGCTGTTATTAGAGGTAATCATACTGCTGCGCCTTGGAGGTAACTGCATAATCATTGTAAAAAAATAAATAAGTACGATAAAAAACATTTTCCTAGTTATTACTGCTTCATTAGTGCTAACTACTGCCAATTTGAAGCGTGAGAAGCCAATTACCCCCAGTGTTAATTTCACTCAAACCACAGTGATTGTGCCAAACAGAAGGAGCATTTTACAAGAAAGAAGCTGACCGGTGAATTTAGGTAAAAAGCTACAAGCTGGATTTCAGCTGTCGGAGCCACTTCAGGCATGGAAATGGTGGACGGAGAGGACAGGCGGGAGACGGGAGAAAAGATGAAGTCTAAAGGTTAATACCTGCTGGCAGCCGACACATGGATTTCGAGATACAAATCAACATTAGGAAGTTTTTCCTGTGCCGTACCCTCGGTGCACAGAGGCCCACGTGTTTATTTGGATTATGGTAAAATAAATATCATGGAGAGTCAGGGGAACGGCGGAGCGGGTTGTGCTGTAACAGCATGGAGCAGGATTAGAGCTCTGCTCGGTGTGATTGAAAACAGGCATACTATCCTCCCCACTAACAAGCTCATGGGTGACAAAAATAAGATTTCATTCCAAAAATCAAGCAACAATAATTTCAAAAATATGACACAAAGTCGAATATCAAAAAGAAAAACAAATGAGAATTTTCAAAGAAGCGACAGTTTTGTTGGCGTGCAGTATACTGTATGTTGGCAGGGTTCCTGTCTTGTATATATACACTATACATATATTTAAATACATATATACACACATCCATACATACATGCATATATATATATGTATAGCCCCTGATGATTATAGATTGCTATAGAGTAATTTTTACTGATTACGTTTGATTAATTTACTGTGTTTGAGGGGGTTTGTCACAGCAAAGGATTTCAAATGAAGTTTATCACAGCATTATGTGTGTCTGAATCATCCTGATGTGGTAAGCCCCACCCATCTGCTACTCCTCGCCTTGACACGAGACGAACCGCCCAGCCGCCTGCGAGCGGGGACACCGAAGCCTTGAATAAAACAACTATTTGATGTGTAGAAAACGGACATAAAATTCCTAATACTCTCAATATTTCTCATTCAATCCCCGGTGACAAATCTTCCTCTTGATTGTGCGCTGAGCGGCCCCCTGTGTGAATTCAACGCCTGGTCCAGGATTATCCCGACGTGACAGCTTTCCAGCCAGAATTCCCCCAGTTTATCATTTAAACGACAGCGGGGGACATTTATCTCCGTGGCTTATCGTCTCAGCCACGCGTACATGACACTTGTCTATTGCCGTCAGGGTAATATTCCATTGGTGATTCAGTCCGACACTTTGGTCTTCTCCATGTAAAACCGACTTGTCTTTTATCTGCGTTAGTGCTGAAGGAATCTGATCCCTCATGAATGAAACAAAAGGGCGTGAAGTGTCACAATCTGATCAATACGGAGGTCTGTTGGCAAGTGGCACTCAAGAGGAGTGCCGGGAATGCACAGCAGTGTAATCAGAGCCGGACCGGGGTTAAACTATGGTTTGTCTTGCAGGAAGCTCCAGAGATGTCAATGACAAAAGCACCTGAAAGAGCATTTTACCTGATAATCTGAATGAAATACCTCAAGTCTTCACACAAAAGCCTCCTGCAGGTGACTGTCTGCAGTTTGTTTTCAAAGATAAAGTTGTAGGTAAACTGTCTTTAGGGCCTTTGTATCTCTATCTCTTGGTCTGCTCTTTTTAAAATAAATCAACCAAAGTAAATATCTGTAAATTCTGCCACTGCAGCCATTGTTGTTGTTGTTGTTGTTGTTGTTGTTCATTACCACTGTTTGAACAAACCAGCGATGTGTTGAATTGTGTTATACCATTTATACCAACCGTTCACTTCACTCTGACAAAGATTTGTCAATAACAGACAAGGCGGCAATATTAAAGGAGGTGCTCCAGAGTTTTAGTATTACACTCGCATTAAGTTTGGGGACCTGTGAGACACATAAAAAATTAATGGTCAGAATCAATGCAGCAGAGTTTAGTCACTAGTATTGACCTGATGAAGGCTGCACATTTTTATCCATTTGTTCTATTTCTGCTTTTGTCCTTTTAACTTCCAGAAGCTATTACCAGCAACATTAGACATCTATAAACAAGTCAAAAGTGCTGATCAATTCATATAGTGAAGTATAAATGTCTTAAAGGCAAACACATCCACCACCAATATCAGATTAAAAAGACAATCTTTAGTGAAGCTAAGTGCAGCGTTATCTTCAGTAAGCTTGCTTTGTGTTGTTGCACTGATGCTTAACTTAAGTTTTTAAGGTTATTTGGATTCTTACCAGTGCTATGTTATATGTATATCTATATATACAGTATATATATACACCGGTGCACTCTGACCAGTCATCTCATCATTACTATCAAAACTAGAGTTGAACCTTCAGCTCAATGACAAGATATTAAACATTACATCTTATTACATCAAGGAAAGAGATCTTGATAAATTAAAATAAAGTAATTAGAATTTATATTAATGTAAGTCTTTACTATCTTGAATAAAATCCTTAGTCAACTGTCTTCCTGATAAATACTGCGGGGTTGTAGATGACGGACGGGTAGTTGGGAGAAGGTTTGACGATGGGCGGCTCCCTGTGAAATCGTTTTGGTAATCCTTTGGTAATTCCTAAACCTTTAATTTGTATTGAATGAAAGAATGTAAATGGATTTGAAGAGCTTCTCTTTTCCCCCCTTCTTTTACCACACAGCCTCGATCAATCTCAAAGAAGAAGAAAAGAAGAGAAAAAAGAAAAACACATTAGAAATGACTCAGGCAGGTTCCTGTTCCTCGGATAATAGACAGGAGTGAATTAGGTTAGCATCAGGTCTCTGGGTTATTCAGTATTTTTTTTCATACTGTGCTAAACCTGCAGCGACAAACTGAACTGAGGCATGTTTTTAACATCTGAAGTCAACAAGCTTCTTGCCAAGCAACTTGTAACTGGAATAAATTGCAGCTCTTTTAATCGCTATTAGTTCAAAAAAACATTTCATTCTCAATCTTTGACTTTCCTAATGCTGTCTGTAGCTATTTTCTCACGTCTGTCTTATTTGCTAATTGGCAATGAGTGAAAGAACTACACGTCTCTTACTTTTATAAGCGAATTGTTGTTCACAGCTCGATCTTAATAAAGAGATCCTGAAGTCAATGAGGCTTCCACTCAAAAAAAAAGAAGAAAAAAAAAGGAATTAATTATGTTTTCTTCGCGCTTCAGCTGAATATGACAGGAACACGCTGGTAAAGGAACAAAACATTGAGTGGGTATCAAAACTCCACGTGCCCTTTCGGTTTTACTTATTCTTATTGCCTTGAGACCTGAAATGAAAATTATTATACCAGACGCTTTTGACTTTCATCTAGAAAATAAAAAGAGCTCCTGTTTCCCGTCAAAGCTGCAGAAGATAGGTTTACACATTAGCTTTTTTTTTTTTTTGTTAAACGGCTGCAGAGATAAGTGAAACGTAATACTCACTATGCAAACGTGACATAATATTTACATGAATTCACTCAGCTTACAATATTTTATAACTTAACAAGCACATCAGATGCATAAATGTGACATTGTGGAGTCCTGCTTCCTCTGAATGGAAGGATGTACTAGTTGTTATCGCTTTTGAATTCACATCAGCAGCCTTGAATTATTGAGGTCAATCTGTGAGGTCACATTTGATGACTGTGGACCCACTTAGTGGTTAAGATGTGGTTAAGCCATTCTGGATAAGAAAATATCACATGGTGCAGCTTTAAAAAGACAGAAACAACACATTATATACAATACAGCAATATACTCTAGTTGTGAAAGAGTGTGCAGCTTTCAGTAATGCTCAGTAAAAGCATTTTTTTTTTTTCATTTCAGGCCTCATGGCAACACAAACTGTGTAGATGTTTGTTTGTTTTTTCTTTATGTGGTATTTTTTCTTTTACTTTACCGCAGGCTTACAAACATCAGTGTTTTCTACGCTGGACTTTTCCTCAGGCAGGGGTGCAGTTTACAAAAGGAAAAGTAAAGGCTGTTGATTTTGTACAACGAAAAAACAAGCTGCTGATGTGAAATTCATTCACATTCATTCAGTTATTATTTAGCTTTGTTTGGTTTTTCTTACGGTATAGGCAGTGCATAATTTAGAATGATTTAAACTAATTTAGTTTATCATTACCATAAGATTTTACATAATACTTTCTTGTTACAAAGTCACAGTAAGTAACAAGTATGTCTCAAGTCTTAAGTATAAAGTCCAGACCAAATCCAAAACTTATTGCTATTGCTGTAATGTCATGAAGTCGCACGACTCTGCAGAAGGATTTTAATTTGAAACTATGGATACAGGAAGTGGAGACATGTGGTGACACCCGGGCCAAGCTGAGAGGGAGAGAAAGAAAAAAAGAAGAGCAAGAAAGGTAGATTTAACTAGCTAACGTTAAGCTAGATTTGTATTACCCAATGATGATTCACTCCAACTGCTGGCGTACAACACATGCAAAACAAACCCCTTAATAGTCAGACTGGTCACCAGGAGCACCGTCTGTCTCTTTACTGGCCTTCTCTGTGTGCATGTCATTTAGGGTGCACACGAGAGCGTGGTGTGTGTGCATGTTCTGGGGCACTTCACAGACCTGAAACCCACACTGTGACTGATGTCATTTCTGGTCACAACCCGCAGATGACACCCGAAAGACTACTTAAATAAGGCACGACTTATTTTTCACAAGCTACTTACTCTAATGTCTTTGTGTTTGTGATGTGATGTGATGAGCAGAAGGCTCACCGCTCTGTTGGTGCAACTGAACTACAGATATTACTCAGTCCACTCACGATTTTAGAGTGACATTACATCACAAATGATCTTTGGCTCAGTACAGACTTCAGCCAAAAGTTTCATTTTGGCCTTTTGGGATGTAATTAACGCCATTAACCTCCATTAGCTACTGCTGATATTTGCCATTTGTCATTTAAACTGGCAAAAGATTAAATTAGAAGTCTGTTTACCTGAATGTGTCGATGTCAGAATAAGATAATGTGCTAGTTTATAAGCTGCCAAATAAAACTTTCTCTCTTGCATGTGCAATGTGATTAGCTGCTGTCAGAGTAACACAAAGTACATCCAAAGTCAGAAAAATTTAGAGTTGAACATAAATTTTAATCTTTCTGTGCTTGGGAAAGATATCAAGTCGTTCAAAGTCAAGTGAAGTCGCTGGTGACTCCAGTCAAAGTCGAGTTGTGAGCCTTTTTTGATTTTCCAAAGTCGATTCATGAATCTAAACCTCTGAGTTTGTTGTTGAAAATTCTTATTTCAGTTTTGATCTCACCACAGTCGCCTCGCTGCTTTTTTTTTGGCATTAACACACACAAATCCACCACCTAAGTGTCACACACTTTGCGGTAAAGGCATGACAACATTTCCTTTAACTGCACCATCTATTCACAACCTTCAAACCAGCATGAAAAAATCATTAGTAAAACATCTTAACCATCATGCATGTACAATCAAACACTCACACGGGCTGCAGTACCTTGGAGTAAAGATATATTCGGTCTGTGTACTGGCTGGCGCAGAACTGCAGGCCCGGGTAGACAGGATGGGTAGTGCTGGCGTCATCACCATCATTGTCCTCATCATCGTCATTAGCATCAGCAGTGGAAGACAAACACGCTGCAGCTCTCCGGTCTGCAGGGAGAGAGGAAGAGGCTGACTAATATCTCACTGAGTATATATTATTGGCTCATTACTGGCTTTCACAGCTTTATTGGAACCTCTATTTGCTCCTCTGGTGATGCAATGACTAGCAGAGACATAAAGCTCCAGCAGCTTTTAAGATTTATTTATACAGAGGCACAATATTGGGAAGATATGACATTTGAAGCGGAATATTCAAATGTGTGTGCATATCCAGTTCATGTTTAAAAGAATTACCTTTTATTTACGTTTATTGCTTTCAAATATGTGATGTTGGAGTAATTATCTGTGACATTTTCATATAAATAGGAATGAAAGTCAATTTTGCTTCTTGCCGTCACCAGTTGTTACAACAATGAACAGACATGCCGGGGTCTAAAAAACGCAGCTGAATCTTCAATTATGGGTTTTTTTTCATTTAGCTATTTTAGTATCCGTGTCGGCATTCGTATTCGATTGCGCCACATTGTCAATGAACAATGAACAGACAGGACCACGGAATAAAGACAGGAAGTCTCTCATAATTGGACCTGATTGGACAGTCACACCACATGCTGGTCACTGATCTTAACTTAAGTTTCTGAATAAATATAAGGCATGGTTTGCTTTTGATCAAAAGCAAAAAACAAAAGATGTTTTTCTTGCAGTATTCCACTGAATTGAACTGATTCTGCTGTAAAATGTTGTGGTGTTAAATGCTGGTGTGAACAAACCTATTAAACTGTCTTAATTGTGTATTTTTAAGAAATTTCTGTTCTAAATCTGTAATAAAAACACCAGAGTTTTTAATTTTTACATCTATGTTTGTGTAAAGGTTAAGCAAATCAGTTACACTGTGTTAATTAGTGGGCTTGTAGAGTTTTTTTGTATTTCTTTATTTTACTCTTTGGACAGCGCAAGCTAGCTGTTAGCCACTAGCTCCAGTCTTCATTCTACGCCAGGCTAATTACATCTTAAATCCAGCTCTGTACTTACTACACAGACATGAAATTGATATTAATCCTGTTATCTTACTCTTGATTAAAGAAAAAATGAGCATATTTCATATTGCAGCTACATTGGACGCCCATTTCTTTGACAGAAATGTCCCAATTTATTTTTCACAAATTCACTCGACGACGGGATGGAAACACGGCGCGGGAGTGGAAGAGAGAGTGATGAAATGACAGTCACAGATGGAGAGAAACAGAGAAAGGGAAAAGAGAGAGTAGGTCATTAATGTCAGCTATGTAGCTTGCTCATCCTGCCAGCATCTAGCAAGAAAAGGTCAGGCGGTGGAAATGAGACCGCCGCTGCTCGACCACGCTTCATTTAGACAATGACCTATAACACTCCAATGATACTTGCATTAAATCACTTCGCGTGGCCAGTTGTCTGCTTTGTCTGCGCGCATGTGTGTGTGTGTGTGTGTGTGTGTGTGTGTGTGTCCATTTGGTTTGCTAATAGGAGAAAATACCGACACAGCCTGATGTGTGAGACAAGAGTGTTTTCAGACGAACAAGTGCTGCCATGTACCTGGACGGGGTCTCTGGTGGTTATGGGACAAATCGGCTTTTGTGCAGAAACACTCAGGGGGGTTGAGAGACAGGAGAACATGTGGGACCAAAGATACAGCATCCAGTATCAACGTACATATAGATAGTATAGAAATTCAGATTACTTACAGGTTCGAACTGATGTCAGCGAACTATTTATGTGCAGTTGATCTAACTACTTTAGAAACGGTATATGATCTAACAGTGACTTATATCAGACTTATTAACAGACTATATCCCTGTTTTCCTGTCTTTTATCTCGTGTCTTGATAAATTCAGCATTAAGTATATTCTTGTTGTATATTTCCACAGCGCCAATTCCATCAGCACAACAACAAAGTCATATCATACTCACCACCCTGCTACTCTGCGTTTGTGTCTTAACGCAAACACTGTTTTCATTCACTAATTAATTCCAGTTGCTTTTCTTCTTTCATTGTTTAAGCCTCAAACTCAACACTGACTATTATTTGAAATGTATAATTTATGGTAGCTGCATTCCACCACTGATTTGTTTAATATTTGTGATGCAATCTGATATCAAAACTTTTTCTTTTTTTTTTCGGTTTCAAGGTGAGATCATCCTTATAAGTAATCTCCTTTCCTTGACCTCTGCTGCACAATGTCCATATCTTTCATTTTTATGTTGCCCATTCTTATAGGTGTAATTTTCCTGGATCTGGTACACACTGTTCTGATCTCACCCTGGCGGCAGCTGGAAGGGGGGCACTTCGTGTCTGAAAAATACCAAAGCGACCAGGCAGGAGAATTGTGCAGAGCTACAAAAAGCTGGTACCAAAACATTTTTAGGACACTAGCTTTTCACAAAATCCCATCTATCTGTCCTTCTACATCTGTAATGAAACCTCCTCGCAGCTCTGCAATGTGCACCCTATATTTGTAGTAAGCAGCCCCCCCCTACCCCCCCTTCCCCTGTTTGCAGTGGCGGAACGCGCCAGCTGCATTAAGTGGGCCATTTATACGATGGGGGCAATTCATCTTACAAAGCCGTCTTATTAGACTGTCACTTACACAGTATGAACAGTGCCTTCAGAACACCCCAAGGGATTTATCTGTTATTTTACCGCAAGAGAAAGAAAACAACGCCTAATTGGACTGAGTCATCTCATCTTCTGCAGGATCGAAACAAAAGATATGAAAAAATAAATAAATAATAATCTAAATGTGCTCTTCAAATATGAAGACATTTGGTGCAGCTGAAACGTTGGAACTCGTCTAGCATCTGAAATAAAAATAAATAAATAAATAAAAATCTGTGTTTAAATGTTTGGGTCATGCAGATAGACGGAGCGACAGACAGTAAGGAGAGGGAGACGGAGAGGTGGAGGAGGAGTGATTGCCTGTCTGTGCTGCGAGGAAAGTAATCTCAGAGCAATCAAGAGGTGGGGGCGGCCGACAGCTCTGCGGTTTGCCTTCTAAAACCACGGGCAGGTAGAGGAAAATTATTAGGCACCGCTCCTGACCCCATAGGTCACTTTTATTGGACAACTGCTGTGTTTCGTATTAAATCCACACTGCCGGAGACATACTGACAACAGCATGTAACTAACACACTGACTAACCACCAGCGAGACGGGCAAGCAGACAGACAGGAAGATGGATATGTAGGCAGACAGACAGACGGATAGATAGATAGATAGATAGATAGATAGATAGATAGATAGATGGATAGATGGATAGATGGATAGATGGATAGATGGATAGATGGATAGATGGATAGATGGATAGATGGATAGATAGATAGATAGATAGATAGATAGATAGATAGATGGATAGATGGATAGATGGATAGATAGATAGATAGATAGATAGATAGATAGATAGATAGATAGATGGACAGACTATGGCTCTAGGGGAAAGTACATGTCAAAAGGCGACATAGAAGCCAAGTTGGCATCCAGCAGTGTGTCTTTAGTGCTGCCATTTGTGATCGACAGTGAAGCTTTTATCTCTCCCCTGGAGTCGATCTGAACGGAGGAGTTTTTTTTTTTTTTTTTTTTGAAAAAAGGAAACAGGCCTTTCGCTCACCTCCAGTGTTTTTTCCCCCCCGAGAGCGGGGACGCACAGAATGCAGAAGGCACCGCAGGGGAGGCGGCAGTGGGAGTCGGTGTTAGGCCACTGGGGCTATATGTGGCTATAGAGAGGAGAAATTAAACACTTGACAATCTCTGGGCACTAATAGATGTCAAAGTGTGTGTGTAAGTGTGTGTGTGTGTGTGTGTGTGTGTGTGTGTGTGGCTCTGAAAGAAAAGGAATCTGCCAAGTTGTTGCAAAACTGATCTCAGGATGTTAGAGGGTAATAGGGGTTGATAGCTTGCCTGTTAAAACCTAAATGGCTCGGGCAATATTCATTCTTATGTGAAGTAACTGATATCAGTTCAGTTTCATCCTTCAGTGCCTCTGACCCAAACTGTCTGCAAGCTTTCAGAGGCAAAACCCAGGTCACAGGCTTTTCTTAGACTCTGCTAGTCTGGCAATTTTTTTAGGAGCTCTTCATATTGCACATGGTGTAATTAGTTCTTTGTAATTAGCACAATTTATTGCTTTGTGTATCCCTTTGAGACACAAGTACTTGAACACAGAGGTCTTAATTTGCAATATTACACACTGTGTAATTGGGAATTTGTTTCTTCACAGCCCTGAGAGACTCGCAGACATGCTCACATATAACCAGAGTGGACGGGGAAAACAGGTCATGTTTCCAGAATCATCTGGCACAGGGAGGGAACTTGTGTCTTTTATTTAATTAGACCTGGGCCCACTTTATTAAAAAACAGCCAGTCAGGAGCTCATCAGTTACCTGCCGGACAGTGATCGAACCTCAGACCTTGTATGTGTGTGTGTGTGTGTGTGTGTGCTCCGAGCAGGTCACTTGTTTCAACAAGCTGCACTCTGGAGATTAGTGAGCTTTTACTCAATATCTCCTGTAGCTCCCTGAGTGCAGAAAATAGGCAATATCCCCAAGTAGATACTAATAATAGTAAGAATAATAATGCCTAGCCCCATATGGAATGAGATATAATCCCGTATTGGTTTGAAGTGATGATATTAAACAGCATTATATGGGCAGGTGACAATGCAGCACCAGCCAATTTCCCTAGATATGAAAAGGAGAAGATTGCAGGTGGGATTACCCTGTGTGTGGTCAGAGGGAAGGCAGCCGCCACCGCCAGAAACGTTGTCGCCTCGCTCTCCCGCTGATTGTTTGCCTTTGAGCCGCCGCTTGTCCTCCTCCTCTGCTTCTCCTAGTTTCTGTTTGTCTTTCGGAGGCTCATCCTCCCCCTTCTCCTTCTCCTCCTCCTCCTCCTCCTCCTCCTCGATCTGTTTGTCTTTGCACGGTTTTAGAGGCTGGGCTTTTCCCTGGCTGAGCTCTGGCTCGCTGTCGGAGCCGGAGAGGACGACGCACGCCTGGTCCCTCTCGGAGGAGGGGGGTTGTTGAGGCCTGGGTGGCTCTGAGCCAGCAGAGGAAGGGAAAGAGAGAGAGAGAGAGAGAGAGAGAGAGAGAGAAAGATGAAGATTACTTTATTGGCCGAGCTGCAGAGTGTAATCAGACTTTGAAGAGTTTCATTCCCAAGCGAGATATCCATCATCTGAAGAGTGTGACAGTGTGACAGAATGACTGCTGACATGAAAGTAAAACTCAATATGGCTCATTAGTGATGTTATTAGCTATCATAAGTCCTTTACTGACAATTTTAGAGGTGTGGATTGGATAGACATTAGCGGGGATGTAGGGGAATGTGTAAACACACCCAAGTCTGTTTGGGAGGATGTTCATTTTACAAAGAAGCACATAAAACATCATCTAATCCATCTTTTGCCTGGTCGCTGCATACCAACCGCTAACTGAAGGTGGGACACTGTAGGCGTTAGATCCGTTGCTCAGCAGCATGTCGGCAGCGAAGCATCGAGCTGCAGATGGAACACCTGTCACCCCCCCTCCCCCCTCCTCCCGGATCAAACAGCCAATATAATTTGCTGGGCGAATGAATTATGCTCGTGTCACATTGTTTTGTTAATTGCTCGCCTGCATCATGTGCAATCAAATCTAAACAAAATAATTGTCAGCGATTGCTGCATCTGTGCACCCGGGTGGTATTCAAACAGCTGATAATGGCCGACTGCCAATGGCAGATCTTGCGTTAAAGAATCCGCTTATGGCACCTTGTGGACTGGCTATCAAGCCCGTTCTGCAGCTCCACTCTCAAACCATTCATGTGATTCTCATTCATGCACAATGTTGTAATTCTGTGAAGGTCAAGCAGAAATATAAGCCACAAAAATGTTAATGAATGCAGGGATTATGCCATCACCACACAATTTAAAAAAAAAAAAAAAAGTACTTTTACATCGTGTTCTGAGGCACCGTGTTTTGTAAAGGTAAAATTCAAGGTAAATTTAACAGGTAGATGTAAATCTCACATTCAGTCCGTAGCACAGAACTTCTTCAAAAGTAGCACTATACAATTTCTTTTCCCCACTTTCCTGGTTAAAATTTAAATCATATCCTTTCACATTATTTGTTGAACTTGAGGTGTGAAATCTAACAAGACAGTAAGTTGTGAGACTTTGGGACGCAGAGGGCTAATTAGTGATCCTGCCTCTTTGTGGCTCGTTTCTTCAAAAGGCCAGCCTCTAGTCGGCTTCCTCAAATGTCATCTGAGTCTCCGGGCTCCTGGCCCCACCACTGCCCCCCCCCCCTTCGCTAACAAGCTGAGCGAGACCGCAGAGAGACGGCTCAATTTGTGTTAAGCTGTCCCCGCTGAGGAAGATGTTAACGGGGAAATCCTAGAGGGCCCTGCCTCGACTCAACCAGTCAACCCCCTTGTTTTCCCCCCAATCAGGGCCCCATTATGTCTGTAGTGGCTTGATAAGGTTCTAAAATGGAGTCTCGAATCCAGACACACAAACATACTACTATGTACAGACACATTCAAAAAGCATGTGATCCTGTGCACGGGCCAACGGCATAAGCTTACGACGACGCTTTTATTGCCGCCTGAAGGGAATCAAGCAGCTGCAGCCTGTGACAGAGACGTATGGAAGAAAAGGAAAGTACTGGATCCTAAAAATGATCTGTGAAATCAAACAGTTCAACAAAGATTCAGCTGGACTTTGTTGTTCAATGCTTAAAAATCAGGACAGAGATAGAGTGCTAGCTGAGAGGTGCAGAGAGCCAGGAGATAACCAAATTGCCCTCTTCCTGTGTACATCTCTGACAGTAGGTGCTGAGAGACAAATTGCTGGTCTACTGGTGAAAGAGCTGAAGGACTAAATCATGCCCACGCTCTGAGCCTGAAAAAGCTGCAAAACACAAGAACTCTCAACACCCCTGATTCAACGTGAAAATGGTCGAACAGAAGTAAGTCTGGTTGCGGTGCTGGCGCTAAATCAACTAGACTAACCTCACCTGAGATCCCAAACCCCGTCACATAAGGAGGTAATAATCCATGACAGTTTGATTAAAAGTAATTCTCCAGTACTGACAATAATGCTCAACAGTGATTCAATTTGGATCAAATTAATGAAAGCTGTTTACGTTTAACACCTGGAAATTGGTAAGCTCTCCTAGCTGCTGCACAGGAAATAATGATATAATGAGATGATTGGGTATTGTAAAACAGCTACAGCTTCCTACCGAAGACGTGTATAGATGTTTTAAAAATTGGCGTTCACCATTTACCATTTGCTAAACCCTTCCACCGAAACAGGCAATTGTCCAGCTACAGGTTAACAATTGTACTCCCATTGTTTCAAAAACAACTATGAAATTCGAGAAGTAAATCTGCCTCCGTAATCACTGTAAACTGCATTTGTGCCGTATAGGCTTGACAGATGTAGCAACAGTTGCTAAGGGAACACAAGGCTCAGCGAAGGGTCAATATACCATTTTCACATTTGGTTGCCAGCCTCTAATCGAAATCATAGGTATCTTTCTTTTCTTTTTTTTTTTTTCATGTCATGTTACTCATTCTGGTGCAAATGCCTCATGGTACAACAGACCAATATCCTTCTGCATGCTGACTCCTCTTCCTCTGCAGCTGCTGGCTTGGAAGCCAAATGCCTCAGAAACCTGTTCCCTTACATCAGTAAGAAGCCTTGACGTCCTTGTGTCACGTGCAGGTATTCTGTGATTCTCTGCAACATATCTTAGTGACACAACTTGTGACACGGTGCAAAAGCTTTTTTTGTATTTATTGCGAGGAACTGTTGCTACTCTTGGAGGGATAACATATCTCATGTCATACTATAGCCTCCGAACTGATTATTTTCTTACATTTCCACGAGCTGAGGACTGCAGTGCCAAGTTGAGAGATATCTCCATAAATACAGTTGTTATTTTTCAGCACAGTCTGTCATTTACAAATTTAGCAGGTTGTTAAATTCCCTGTCTAGTGAGCTGACACAGCCTGCTGCTGTGAATGCAGAGTGGCGCTTGTGACAAAGAAGAGTGTGATTGCTGAATAGTTATCAAGCATCTGCTGTAGCTAAGCATGAAATGCGGGGTGAATTTTGTTAACACGTGCGTGTGTGTGGGCGGGTGAGTGTGAATGTGTGTGTGTGTGTGTGTGTGTGTGTTTTGTGTGCTGTTCAAAAGCTGAGGTACTGGTTGTTTGAACTGTGCGTTTTAAGTGCACCGTGCTCACTTCCAGTGGACCGAGCAGCAAACAGACCTTCAGCCCAGCCAGTGTTTACTGTACTGTTACACTAAATATAGATCCTATATTAGCATGAGGAGACTTTAGAGTCATTAATGCAGTGTCAACCTTTTTTCTTTTTTTTTTTTTTGAAAGACAAGTGAGAAATTGAATGTGTTATTAACAAATATTCATATAAAATGTTGCAACACAGACTGTATAATGAAAATGTATTATGTGTTAATGGGTAAATTCATCCTGACTGAGAGATTGGTGTGCAGAGAAGGTTGCTAGTAAAATAAGACTTTAATAAAGAAGATTTTCAGGGCAATAGTGGCGATGAATAGCGTCCCCGCTCTCAGGTGAAAAACTACTAAAAAGGTGAGTGAAAGACCTGCTTTCTTTTAAGAAACACCTCAGTTCAGACCGACTCCAGGGGAGAGATAAAAGCTTCACTGTCGATCACAAATGGCAGCACTAAAGACACACTGCTGGATAACAACTTGGCTTCCATGTCGCCTTTTGACCAGTACTTTTCCCTAGAGCCAACTCATATCTATCTATCTATCTCAGCATTAAAACAGGAAGCAGCGGTAAACGCCTAGCCTAAAACACACGTTAATGCAGTGTTTTTCCAGGCCGAGGCTAAGCTACGCTAACTGCTCCAACTCCCAGCTTTATCATTAGCGCACATACATGAGTGGTATTGATCTTCTTGTCTAAAATTTTGTGTAATGTATTACGTATTTTATGTGATGGAAAAAATATGAAACATAAAATCCTTTATTCGGGGGAAATAAAGGAAAAGATCCATGTTATGAAACTATTCTGACGCCTTGAATTAATTCAAACTAGTTTTGAAGTATTTTGTTATACATTAAACTGCGATTTCTTACATGAACATGGAGTGAACTCTCTACTAGAAACACAGTATGTACTGTACAAAGCATAAGAGAGGCCTTTGTATGTAGTATCTTACCCTTGAATGTCTTTTTGTGATACTGAACTCTTATATAAATACTAATTTTCAGTGCAAATCTGTGTCAGATTGGATAAGACGTAACAATAGGAGCAAAGTTTCATCCAAGTGTGAAGATACATAGGTTTGTATGACTTTAAATTACTAAGGCCACTTGTGTCAATGCACCATAAAATTCAGCGGAACATCCTGCATTAAAAAGAGGCACTAAAACTAATTCTGCCTAAATATTATTGCTGCTGAAACTGCATCGGAATTTTAGGGTATTTTTTATTTTTTTTTTACAGTCATGTCTGAGCTGATCTGATGCATCTCAGACATTTAAAGAGCATGGACCTGCAGCCTGCCAGGTCATAATGACTTCCCTCCCCTCTTCTTTTTTTTTTTTTTTTTTTTTTTTTCTTTTGCAAGATACAATCATAGGCTGTCAGAGATATCAACTAGAGCCAGCTCAACTTTTCCCAACTTTGTGCGAGACGTTTGCAGCAATAGTAAGCGCCTGTTCTCTCTCTCTCTCTCAGCTTGACAGGTGAGAATTATACTGTGTCCTTGTCATCTGCAGAGAGAGAGAGAGAGAGAGAGAGAGAGACAGACAATATTCTCCTAACAGAGCTATTTCAGACTCTGGCAAGCCTGCCTCCATCTTTCGCTATCACGCATCTCCATCTGGTGAAATCTGTAATGCTGTTCAAATGTATTATGTCAACAGACTGCTACGATTGATATTGACGGGTGGGAAAATAAAGCAATGAATGGATTTCAGCTTCAGGTGCTTCATTTCAAGCAAGAGATGATGGAATTATTGTCTCTTTCTTAATGGAATCCAGTTTGTTTTGCAATCAGTGAAATGAAGTTTGTGGATTAATAAACAGGAAAAATAGATGAACACCCAGGCAGACACACACACACACACACACACACACACACACACACACACATTAGGGGAGGATTTGTTATTGTTTCTTGTTTCTTATCGTACCTGACATGGCAGCAGAAGAAGGGCGTGGGAACTCGCACATCTCGCAGTAAGGCAACAGGCTGTTGTTGGAGTAGGTGCAGGCTCCACAGCTCCACTTCTCAATCGTAGGGTTGGGCTCCGACAGGTTCCGCGGGGCCATGAAGGAGACCAGAGCGCCGGGGCTGCCGGAGCCGCTCCCCCCAGCTGTCGACCTCCTCGTCCCCTTGAATCGAGAACTGGGGCTCGGGCTGGGCTTCTGCGTCCGCAGCCTCTTCAGCTGGGGGGAGAAGTCCTGGTCGGGTGTGGCGGAGGATTGGGAGCAGGACTCTTCACCTTTCTCCTCCCTTTTTTCACAGTTTGTTCCAGTGCCAGCAGCTGGTGAAGCAGCTGTCTCTGAGGAGATGGAGGGAGATGTTTCTCCATCTTCTGTTCTCTTCCTCTTCTTCTTGCTGGCGCTCGGGGAGAAGAAGGAACGGATATCGTGCTGCTTGTCCCTCTCAAACTAAGAAAAAAGATGCAAGTTCGAGTTAGTTTCACTCTTTCTTGCAAACACAGTTAAGATTTGTCCCATGCATGATCGGTTTCAATCCACCTTTAAAAGGAACACAGTCTATGACACAAATATCCCTTTTGTTACCATTGCTACGAGGCAATAATTTGATCCCCTGCTAACACAGGAAAGAAAAACTACCTGATTGCAAATTATGAGTTTTGCACTGATCATTCAATAGTCCAGATTCCTACTGTAATCTACAACACATTAAGTGTGATGCAACCTTTTTAAAATATAATATTTTCAAAAACTATTAGCAGCATGTGTTCATTAGCTCAAACACAGCCCTATGCACACTTGTTACACAGTTTAAATAATCACTGACACAAAATTACAATCAGCCAATGATGCATTTTGTAGTAATCTGCATGACTCACATTTCATCCATCTACCAGTGTCATAATATCACAAGAGCGGACAACAGGTGAATATTCAGATTCACTCAGGCTCAATTTACTGTGAAACTTGTTGTTATTATTTAGTTTAAAGAGGCAATTCTTTCACTACCGTTTCTCAAGCACATTCACAAAACTGAGTTTTAGGGTGCTGTCGGCTCCACAGTCACTGAATATGCAGCAGGCAGACATCAGAGAGACACAACAGGCCGCTCATACCGAAGCAAAGATGTCAAAGGATGCTCTGCTGTGTGGTTTAGTTTGAGAGGAAGAGGAGGACACAGAGGAAGAGGCAGAGACGACATGCTGCCTTTGAGGACGTCATGGCAGAGGCACGTTGAGAGTCTACATGTGGGTTTTACATGCATTTGTTGTATTGATGCATTTGTTTTGTCAGTCCTTTTGTTTTTCTACTTTCTGTTTGACATGTTATTTATATTAAATACTAACTGCAAGTAAGGAACATAAAGAAACAGTTTTAGTGTCACACTCACAAAGTTCTTCAGCAAAGACACGACAATTTGTCATTTTCGTGGCAGTGATGAACTCAGTGATGATAAATGTCGTTTTTTTTTTTTCCTTCCACAATACAAATGAACTGTTAATTGATGTGATTATTCCGCTTAATGTTTTGAGAATTGTACAAGTGATTCAGGAAATTGTTCTGAAACAATTTAGAAAATCAGCAAAAACTGACAAACGTTATTCAATCTCACAAATCTCAGATACAGTCGGTTGTTATTTAAATGTTCTTTCTTGATTACTCATCCACAAAAGTGTCTGGACACCAGAGCTCAACATTACCATAATTTCTCCACTTAAAATATAATCTTAGTTTTGAAAATGGTAATTTGATTTTAAGTATATTTGGTTTATGCAGCTCTTCAAAATCTGGCTCCTTCTGTTATGAGCGTATTATTGCAGCAATATTATCTGCAAATGTGTGGGGAGAGTTGTGAAACTTTATCTCTATCTATATGTGTGCACTCAGGTTTGTGAGAACTAAATTAAAAGGTAAAATGAAACTATGGTTTAAGGCTGTGACCATTTCTTCCAGCGGCCTCACATGACTAAAGAACAGGTCGTCATTCTGGTTTCCTGCGTTTCCCTCCAGCGGCAGCACCATCTCACTCGGCGTCCAGGCGTTGGCGAAGTTGAGGAAGTCCCACTTGTCCTTGTCGCCCTCGTCCGCCTTCAGGTATTCCTTCCTCCCATTCAGAGTGCTGCCGGTCACCGTTTCCTGGAGGATGTAGCACATTCAGCTCCACACGGCAGTTTTCTGTTTATCATGTCACTGTTTGATGATTCGGTGCAGTATTTTTTAAATGTTCTGTAACGAGCAGTATGAGTTTTCATTTGCAAACAATGACAGCTGTGATTATTAATGTAAGTCCCCAAAGCCTGCTCTTACATGCAAATCAATTCCACAGATGCGTCTAAGTTTATTCATATATGCATTACAGTACATAAAGAAAAACAGAGTGTATATGATAATGTTATTTTTACACGTTTATGTGTTAATGAAGCAGCTGATAAACACGATTTTTCATTTACATTAAAGAGGACACCACTGGGGGAATGTGTGGCGACAGATCAAAGGCTTAACGCGTTACCTTCCTGTTGATCATGGACCACATGACGGTGTCAAAAGTGCCCTTGGCGATGAGGTAGTGCACGTTGACGGAGGAGGTCTGCCCGATGCGGTGGGCTCGATCTTCAGCCTGCTTGATGTGACCGGGGTTCCAGTAGAGCTCGGCAAACACCACATGGCTGGCAGCAGTAAAGGTCAAACCCTGGAGAGGACACACACACACACACACACACACACACACACACACACACACAGAAAAATAACAGTCCAATCATAACAAAAAATAAAAACCTCATTCAACAACGGCTCAAACTGGAACACTTCAGCCCCTTTCCAATGAAATGTAATTTGTAAAATCCTCTTTAATAACAGAATATTAGATGCTAATTGCCACACAAGTGCTTCAAGCACGTACTTCCTCTGACTGGAAAGCATAACGTTCGGTCACTCGGAATAATTGATGTCAATGAGTTTATTAAGTTCGTTATTAAGAGTAAAACACATTTTTCAGAATTTATTTTTATTTACACAAACCCTGATTATGATTCACTACAACCAGTAACACTTGTCTTTATTGCTAATATCTAACAATTGACTGTATTTAGCCTATTCATTGTTGCACTACAGCACCTATTCATTTCCCTTATAATGACCAGGCAGTCTGTAGGAGTAGTGACAGCAGAGAGGACACTGTGTTCAGCTCTTTGAATCTATATTAAACATTCCTGTCATTTTTCAGTGACTATTCCAAAACATAAAGTGTGATTTGTGTGACCACGTCCAAGTCATTTGAATTGCAGATTTTTGTTCACAACAGATAGGAAGAGGAAGAGTGCATTAAAAAAACCACGGTATGTGTTGAGTTATAGAGCGTCCGTGTGTAAATACCTGACCGGCAGCCTGAATGCTGAGGATCGCCACTCGGGTTTCCGGGTCACTCTGAAACTTGTGGACCAACTGGATTCTCTCCGACGATGGAACGCTGCCGTCGATGCGGATGTAACCGGCCTGACAGAACGGAGACGAGACAAAAATTCAATTCACAATAGAAGACGGTTGGAGAGGCGCCTGCCATGTGCACAGCTGATGGAACAGCTGCAACACAGAAACCTTTGAATGAAGTGTGGATTGGCAGAATCATGTCGGCTTCAGTCAAGGAAAGAAAAAATAGCCTCGTGCCTGTTTTGAGAATTAACAAGGTAAAGCTGCGGCAGTTGCAGGATAAACACACTGGATTTGGATATTAGATCTGCTCTAATTCGTATTTTTATATTAACAATGGATCAAATGAATGTGTAACTTGAAAGGAGTTGCTAGTAGCAACAAACCCACAAAGAATTATCACCCGACTCTGCAGTTCACCTCAGCTCTATGGAACATTTTAGGTTCTTTTAGTTTATTGTTTTGATATTCTGGCTTGCTGTTTATCTGGCATGTTTCCAGCAACAGGAAGCAGCTATTTTCAGTGAAAGACCCTCTGTATGCTACAGCTACAGCCCAGCACTAAATACCACACATTTAGCAGCCAGATATTTCCCTCAGGAAGAGCATAACAGAGAGCTAAAAGGACTTAGATTCGTCAGGTGGCCACAAAAATAAACTCCAAATAAATGCTAATGTTGCTCTGTATCTGCTGGATGTGTAAAAAGGCAAATGTTTGGCTAACATGTTCATCACATCAACTTTTTTTAAAATGAGTGAAGGTGTTTACTTCTTCTTCCTCAAGACAAGAGGTTAAAATATGCCCTCTGAGCAGCGCTGCGTCTTCAGGGCAGATTGGAGGCTACAGTGAGTCGCCACGCAGGGCTAGCTGGTTAGCGTGCTAGCTTCAGTAGAACAGTTAACATTGGCGTTGCTCTCCACCGCTGGAGACAGCTCTTGGTGAGTAAAAGGAATGAAGTTTACTTACAAATGGCTCCTTGAGCATTAGCTCAAAGAAGCTACTGGTGATACCAAACCGAGTGAGGCTGTAGCAGCAAAACCACTGAGTGTCTTAAACTGAGGAAAAATGTGTTTCGGGTTTTTTTAAAAAAAAATTTATAAATAAAAGATAATTTAAATTTTCGAGGCCAGATTAACAAAGTCTTTTGTGCCTAATAGAGCTGTTACGTTATTCTTCACAGATGCACTGGCCTGGATATGCAGTCATTTAAAATGAACCTCTCTCTCCTTTATGTATGTGCATTTGAGGAAGAATCATGCCAATAACTGGAGGGGATAATGTACGAGTGGCTGTTTGCACATCATTTAATTCACTAAAGATTCACACAATTTTCAAGGGGTGGTATTGTCCGCCTTTAAAAAAGCTGGCGCTGATTTGTGCTGGAACATTAAAGGAGAGGAGCATTTCATTATCCTGTTTTCTATTCTTTAGAGTTTTCAATGACAGGTGTGTGAATAAATGCACAATAGCGAACACTGAACTGGTTACAGTAAATAAAGTAGTGTCTTTGAAAGGATATGAGAGCAGTAGGAATATTTAGTAAAATTTTATAGCACCAAACAAAGACAGCAGTGGCTGCATGTTCATTAAACCTGAACTTGAAGTTGACATTCACTGAGCTGCTAATGCACTGAGGCGACCGCACTCTTTTGATTTTGGTCCACCGGTCCTGCAGAGCTGCTCAGTGGCCGTCAGTGGCAGAGTGTGTTCGTACTGTGGAGCTCCCACATGTGAATGTAACTGTAACTGCATGAATATGAAGGAGAACCTTGCTGAGAAAGAACACAGAGGTCTGTTTGACTTTTCCTGCAGAAATAAAGGTCGAATAAATATGCTCGGGATGAACTCGGACGGTTAAACAACATCTCAAGGTCAAAAATAAAAAATCAAAACCTGCTGTTTCAACAGAGTGCTTTGCCCCTTGCATTGAACGCACCATATTTACAAGTTTAAAAAATTCACAGCTTCATCAAACAAACCCTCCAGCCGGCAGCATAAAGACACAGTTACGTCATGTGACTGGAGTGCAGTCACTCGTCTCTGCCGAGCTTCTCATCGCAGTGCGTTGCCTGTCGTTCCTTTTTTTAGCCCATCTCTGTTAATTGGTGAGTGCGAATGCACCAGAGAATGAGCGTCTCACGGAGGAATGTGTTATCACACGTCGTACCACACCACTACATTCAGTCGACACCTCCTCGACCCCTTCGACACACACACACACACATACACAGACACACTTGAACTCTTTCACAGGTTGCCGGCGCCGAGCTAAGAGATATCGTTTTCTTGTGATGACTTGTGAAATATGCCTTGGGAGATTAGTTGTGGAAGTAAAGTTTACTTTCTTAGAGAGGAAAAGTAGACTTTTCTTCAAGAAAGAGGAAACTAACACTTTTACATGAAGATTAATACAACAATAACTAAAGCTCTTTTTTATGGTATTTGTTAATTATCTAAATAATGTACCTGTAGTACAGTGTACACCTGAATCTAGCATGTATGTTTAAATAATTCACAACTTCTAACCTCTGCTGTATATCCCCCGCTGAAGCACAAGCCAAACTTGTGAGCTTAGAGCTCAGTGCTCTGTCTAACTTAATCATGGATATGGCAGGGACTTGACTTATAAACACAGCAGGGCTGTGGAAGAAAGAATAAAATGTAAGTGTGGGGCCAATTACCTCTGGTTAGCCTGGAAGGAGGAGTGATATATGAATACATTCTGCACATTTAGTACTTCCAGGTTACCGTTAATGGGCAATTCAGGTCTCTGCTGCTGGAAAAAAACTTTAAAAATCTTAAATGGAAATGACAGAAATGAACATTTGTGCCAAAATGAAATATCAACCATTTAAAAGCAGCGCTCCCTCTTGTTGCAAAGTGATTGATAGCACAAGAACAGCACAAATTCTAGGATTTTTTAAATTACCTCTGAGATGTTTAAGGAAACCAGTTCGAAACTTTTCAAGAGCGTTGTGTTATAGAGGCTTGGCGCACAGGATGCTGGTTTTCTGACTGATTATAGCCGATACAATGAACGGTTGCAGTAGGTGACGTGATGTTTGACTGACGAATAAAGACGATTATAAATACAGAGCATCACGTTCACGTCTGTGCGTCACAGCGGCAGCTACTTTTCAACTGTTTTCTTATTTTTATCATTCATATTCTTATTAATAACACAAGAAATAAAAGCTAAATCAAGTGCTTTATAAATGTTGTATTCTCTTTCATGTGAGCTAATTGATGGTACAGAAAGACTTGTAGGCGTTGGAGTAGGGATGCTCATATCGTCATGGTTACAGTTATCTTTCTTCTCCTGGTCCATAAAGACGCAGTAGTAAAACGGTGTGTTGTGTTTGTTGTAGTCGTCTTTGCCATCAAGTACCTGGAACCTTCCATGCAAATGTATTTCCAAGGGAGTAGTGTCTGCAGTGAAAAGCCTAATTGTGCGCATTGTCCGCGTATCAAGAACATAGTGCACGCACCCGGAGACACTCGCACGGTAACATCCTTACAAATCCAGACATATACACGTACATCCATAAATAGATCAGAGCGTCCCTGTAATCAGCGAGTATTGTGTCCAGACCTGTTATTGCAGAGGGGATGAAACTTGATTTAGCTTCCTGTATCTGCCTCTTGGGAGTCAGAGGGGTGACCAGGGTCATGTGCCATGGCGAATGCTGTGTGTGTGATCCAATAGTCGGGAGTGGTGAGGCCAACGATCTGCTTAATAATACTCAATAATGCCGAATACTTAATGTCATTGTTGCTGTATTTCTGACAGCTGTTGCCGACCACCCTCCTTTGCACGTTCTAAGAAGACCGCCTGAGGTTACCTTGGCCTCGATGACGGCCTCGGTGCAGGCCTGCAGCATGGTGAGGTGGTGGGCGAACACCAGGAACTTCAGCTGCTCCGCTTCCAGCATCATCTTAATGTAGTCCTTCACAGCTCCCGCCTGGCCACACACACACACACACACACACACACACACACACACACACACAAACACACACACATACACATACAGAAATAGACACAGATGAAAGAGAGCTACTGAATCCATCACTTCACTGGTCGACCCCACACAGAGGAATCGGCTAGATCAGTGAAGAAGTCAATTAATCACCGCGGCATCCTTTTCTGTGTGATCGATTCTCTATTGAATGCCAAGGATCCAGACTTTAAAAGGAGAGAGCACACGGAGCGACTGGGGCGCATTTGTCAGCTCGCAGATAGTGAGAGTAAATCAATAACTCACAACTCAATGTATGATTGGTGTTTGCTCTCTTCTTTTTTTTTTTCAGGGGGTTTTGGTGACACCGTACACAAGAAAATTCATCGTTTGATCCACTGCGAGCTCCAACAATTTACAACAACTTAATAAAGATAAATCACTTTTTTTTTTTAAATTAAGTTTAAAGACTTTTTAAATATATGAATTAAACATATAAAATAATAAACCATCAGACTGAGAATCTGATTGACATATTATGTGACTGCACTCTGAATATTTTCAGATTTTCTCAGGACTTGCAAACACCCAAAAACAGATATATTAGGCTGGTTACCTGTCAAAGTGACAGTTACCACAGTAAGTAAAAGTTCAGTTTCTCAACTATGTTGCTCTTGAGTTGCCTGTTTTTTTTTTCTTACATAACCCTGTTTTTATTCATGTGTTTATTCTTTTTTTTCCTTGTTTTTCTTATGAAGTCAAATGGTAACAATGATTTAAAAACATCACAGTCCCAATTTAATAGCATCTCGCTTGTTTCTGCTGAAGCCTCCGACCTTGATTGACAGTGTGAGGCTAACAATCTAAAAAAGAAAGCAGCAGAAGTGCGAGTGAGTTAACTGTACCCTGCAGGTATCCGTATCTATCATTTCACCGCGCGCTGCTGCCCGGCGATCACACTGTGATGGCTGTGGCCGTTCCCGCTACCTTCTGCAAAGCTGAAGTGGATGTGCAGTATGAGCGTGTCATTGAGCATCCGGGCTCGGCTCATTTCAGAGCCCCAGGCCAAAAAGCTGCCAAGAATAGCACCAACTAGTGAGAAATACTGAGGTTTGATTTGAGTCAAACAGAGCCCTTACTGGACGGTTTTGGAGACAGGCCTTTCTCCATGGTGTGAAACCCACCCTTATATTCTCCACACCTCCTGCAACCTGACAACCTCTGCAGCCATCACACCTGCTCTGGTGGGAGAACCTCTGCTTTGCCTTGCTGATAATTAGCCGATGCGCCTGATAATGAATCTCTCCGCCAGGCCTGCCGACCCCGTTCTGATCTGGGGGGTCCTCATTACTGACGGCTTGGCTTCGCCGGCTTCCTTCCGCTGAGTTTAATTAGTGCACAAACTTCTCGGCTGTCTGAAGCGGCCCGTTAGCTTGCTTTAAAGTCCAGCATCAGAGCTGTCCTCTCTGGGTAATTGGGAGCAGATGCTTGGCGGGTAAAGCAATAAAAATACCCCAAAGGCGTTTGGCAGCTCCGTCGCCAGGCAGACTGGCAGGCAGGCAGGGGCCGTGATGCTCGTCAGAGTGACATAGATGTGTGAATCTATCACACTATTCCTCCCCTCCCGATGATCCAAAAAAAGAAGAGAGAACGCGTTTTTTTTTTTTTTGTGAAGTAGAGAAAGTGTGTCTGACTCTAAAAACCAATAGGGGAGGAAATGAGAATGGGCCAACAGTATCGGCTTTGAGGTGGGCGAGTGGGTGGGTGGGTGGGGTGTGGGGGGGGGGGGCTTTGTAATGAAAGGAGGTCCAGTGTTAGGCTAAACTGAGCAGAAATCCAATCAGCAAACAACGCCAAGCGCAAAAAAAAAAAAAAAAGATCCAAGCTCAGAGGCAGGCTGGGCAAGTAGCGTGTGGATGATTGCATTCGGTGGTTATCTCCGGTCTTCATTGACCTCAGGGCCGCGCTCCTCATGGCTGAGGGCGTCAGGCTAATTGAGAGGAATGCCAGCCCCTCGAACATGGCTGATGATTGGAGAGTGGATACTACATTTGGTGGAAATGTTTACTCAACTACAAATATAAGAGATTAAGGAACTGCCTCCTCTCCTCGCGTCGAGATTAGAGAGGCTGGGAACTGATCAGAGGTTGAAAACTATATCACTGCCTTCAAGATGTTTCCACGGGAACAGGAAATGTAAATGCTTGTTAGATTCTTGTCACCAGTTGCTCTGACCCCCCCCCCCCCCCCCACCCCCCCCCTACCTTTTGCATCCCGCCACCCCCCCCCCCCCCCTTTTTTTTTTCTCTTAAAAAAAAAAAAAAAAAATGTCACTTCAAACTGAGAGCTGACCAAGTTTCCATGGCAACAACATCACAGAGATGCTATTTTAGTGCGGTGTGTAACTTTGAGATAAGGTGTAATCATGCCAGGCTGGACACAACTAAATAATACCTCAGTTATAACTCCCTACTTTGTATAAGTGCTTTCACTGGCGACCATTAGGCTCTGTTACCATGGCGATGCTTTCCCATGAGATCTCACTGAGTGGTTGGCCAAGCGCTCAGAACATGATGCTTTACCATCAATTCACCATTTCCTGAAACATCAAAATGAACACATATTACATTCCTTGGCTAATTTTAATCCATTTAAACTGTTCTGGACTTTTATATATATATATGTATATGTATATATTTATTAGCTGTCAGCTCTGAGAGTAGTCACAGAGGTTTACAATCTTTGTAATGTTAACCACAGGGAACATCACTAGAGGAAAGTGTGTGTTGCTTTGTTGACTGCATGTCAATATGGCACTAATGATGTAATGCTGCCTGTTTTCTCACAGTCTGCACAGCTATGGAGAGCGACGAGGTGCTACAGATACTTTTAACACAAAAACTATTAAAACCATAATATATATGAATGTTTTGGTCACATTTTTCTTTCTATTATTGACCAGGTGCAGCTCATGCATCGTGACATTACTAAGGAGATATTTTCAGGACTTAAGAATCAAAAGTAAATGGTGAGAATAATGGTTTTTCTGTCATAAAATTAATGTTCCAAATTCACCTGTGAATTAATTTAACCTTCATAAACCATCACACTACACAACTCCATTACTTGATACAACCTACTGACCGGCTGTCGACTAAAAATTTTGTAGAATATGATACAAAACCAAGAGAAATATATTATTATTATACTATTATACCATAATTCATTTGACCAACTGTAGCATAAAATCAGCTACAACTACAAACTGTGTGTTTAAAAGTTTATCTGGAATTAAAGAAACAAGTCGGACGGTGAATTTTCTGAAGGCAGTGATGAAGTTTGGTCGTGGCAAACATTTAAAAGGGAAAGGAATCGAGATTACTGGGCTTTTAAAAGAACCCTTTCCTAATGTGCTGTCAGTGTAAGAAATGGGAGATAGTAACACAAACAGAGAGTCTGCAACTTTGGACGACATCCATCTGATTTGTTTAACTCTAACTGCTGAGGCCTCATATTAACTTCAGATAAACTTTGGATTGTGTTTTTTGCTGCGGATTTCATCCTCTATCACTTACATTGGAAGCTCATTAGGAGAAGCCACTTTGAACGGGGGGAATGTTTACAGAAAGCAAAACCTGTTTCCCAACTACTGTTTGAAGACGGACTTGAAAAACTGTGAAACGATCCTTTGAGGTTAGGGAAAGATTGTGGTTATGGTTAAATCGGCTGTTTGTGAGTTTTCTCTGCCGGTGAACGTTTTTTCTTGCTGGGAGCGGGCAGTGGTGATTGTTGCTTGACAAGAGCTTAAGCCATATTTTAATACAACCTCTGAACAGCTACGTCTTCAGGGCAGATTGGAGGCTACAGTGAGATGCATGATGCATGTCATGCCGTCAAGTCATTGTGTGTTGCTTTCCACCTCTGGAGACAGCTAAAGGAATGAAGGTTGATGCTGAACTCACACCGTTTCTCCTAGACTGGTGAGTAAAGAGCAGTTAATGCTAATGTTAGCTATGTAGCAAGAGCAAAACTTACAAATAGCTCCTTCAATAAAAAAGGATTTGTCCTTCAGTCTCCTGCTCCAACATGCATTTCACACACTGCAGGACACACTGCTCTGGACTCTGATTTTCCATTTGTCCATCTTGCACTTTACATGCCTTCTTCTTGTCTGGATGAATCTGGCCAACCTGAAACTATCTGACTGATATGATCCCCCCAACACTTTGAGAACCAACCCCGCTGCCTATAATGATGTAAAGTCCACGGTGGTCAAACTGAAACCAAGGCTGCTCTTTCACATTTTTTACTGCCTGTTATATAATAAAACAGGGAGCGGGGTTACCAGTGAAAGCAGCTAATGTTAGATGTTGACTGCAGCCTACCGCCAATAAAAGGTTTGAGTGCATTATGTACAAATGCCCTGAGATGAAATATCACCGTCAGCATCGAGACATTAAACTGCTACGATGTTTAAAGGAGAGGGCTGACGTTGTTCTGTGTTTTTCTTATCGTCAGCAAAGTCCATGAAAAGACCAAAAGCAACAACTCCTCTCAAAACTTTCAGACTTTCCTACCCGGTCTGTTGCACACAGCCCCGAACCCATCAATTCCTACATGAAGATCTTTGAAAAATATGTAAAGTTATTTTCTTTTAAAACAGCAAAAAATAATTTACTAAAACATCTACTCAAACTGGAGTAAATAGGTACTATTTTCTGCTGCGGATTGATCCACATTTGGAGTACTGACAGCAGCAGGACGGTGTATGTCGGAATACTAACGCAACACTTGTTAGTAGGATTTCCTGTGTTTTATAACGACATAAGTTAAGGGGTAAAACAAGATACACTCCCACTTCCACACCACCTGCTCTCCCATTACCTTGGCTATAGCTGTTTGCTTGTACATCTGCGTGACCAGCCCCATGACCTCCGTGAAGGGGTTGTCCGTGGCGACGACCCCCGACCCCAGTCCCTTCATCAGCCTCTCCCACTCGGCGAAGCTGGCTGAGGCCTCCTGCAAGCAAGGAGAGCGCAGAGACAGTGAGGCCGCGTCCTTTATTTCTTCATCCACCCTTCTCTCTCTCTCTTTCTGCTGTTTTTGAGATATAAAGGGCAAAACAATTAATGGTGCTGTGGGTGTCCTACTTTCCCTGGAAGAGGAAGAAAAAAGATGGAGTAAAAAGAGATAGAAAGAGGGAGAATTCCCAAGGATGCCATCCCCTCTGACTGTGCTGCTGTGTTAGGTGGGTCATGAGCGTCTCCCAATTATAGCCGCCTTGTGACAAGCCGGGGTCGAAGATGGAGAAGCAGCCGTGCCGGCACAATAAATCAAAAACGGCTCGCGTGCTCTCAAGGTGATTGGCGAGAAGTATTTAAGGCAGGAGTGGAGAGCGGAGAGGATCGCAGTGGGAGACGCTGCCGGTGAAGAGCAGCATATGCTCCGCTCCGCTCGTAAACAAGACACGCAGAGAGGCCCGCGCATTTGTCGTCCACATGTAGGTTAGCCCTGTTTATCATGAAAAAACAGTCAATTAACGGCAGGCCACAGCACGTCTTGTCGTTTTTATTGGACGACAATGCAACACACCATGTAGAAAAGTGTCATGAAAAGCAGCATGCTGTACGTTTGATTCAATTTCCCTACAATAACTTCAGTGTGCATGTAATTTCAAGTGCCTCAGAGGAGCGCTGAACCTCCTTGACTTTTTCAAAATTGCTAAACTTTAAACCACTCTGTCATTAGAGGTTAATTTGCGGCCTTTTGTTAACAGCTCTCGATTGAATCCGTCTGAATTCGCCGTAAATGTGTCAAATTTCCGCAGGAATGAGCACTTTCTTTAAAGCGGGGAAAAAAAAAAAAACTGTGAACCATATGGCGAGACGAAGGCAGAGGTGGCTGCGCTTGATTAAGCACATACATACATGCACGTCGCGGGGTGGGTGTGTTGTGAAGCGGGTCGGAGGGGAAGGGAGAAGGGGTGAGAAAGGCAGAGAAACCTTATTAATGCAAGTGAGCGCACACACACACACACACACACACACATATAAGGGAGGCTTCCTCAGAGAGCAAGTTTCACCACTGCATCTCGTTCAGCGCAGGTACAATGAGAAGACCGTGGTGAAACATGAAAGCGTTGCACCATTTAGTGCAATAATTAGCATTTCAGTGGATTCAAACCTCGTCAAAGTCAAGGACGGTTGAATGAATAAACAGTATCACATTGGAGGAGCACAAAGCTGCATTTCCTTTATGTTTTTCCTCAGATGTTTCACTGAGCAGCACCTGCAGAAAACACAGCTATGTCTGTCTCTCTGTGTGTTTTTTTTTTTTTTTGTGTGTGTTTTTTTTCCTAATTAAAAATTTTACATTGGAGCATTTCTTTATAATCTGCTGGGGGAAAAAAAATGGCTAAACACTCCACCCTCGAGGATATTCACCGGACTAACGCTGACAAAAGGCCAGGCCTGAAAATGTAAAGGGCAGGAGGGGCATAAAAAGTGTCTGGCTGTGGAAGATAAAAGCCATCATTAGAGAGTAAAATGAGATAGGAGGAATGAACTGGTGAGTGGTCCTGGTATACAGCATATATCAACACAGTTGGTTTAGAGGAAAATAAAGTCCACACAGTTTTTTTTGTTTCATATTGTTCATATTTTCCTGCTTTTGGGAGATTTGGGTGACTGGCCACTTCACACCTTCCCTTCTCTCCTCTCTTAAAAACCAGTCCATTCAGCTGTGAGGGGGAAATTTCTGTCTATTCTCCTCAGTGGATAAATGCATGTTAAAAAAAACAAACAAAACAAAAAAACACACTCACAGATTCATCTCATAAACAATAATAATAAAAAAAATTTAAAAAAAGAAGCCATGAACTGTGAAGCAGAAATGCGCTTTTTGTTTTTGGCAAAGACAAATGATCTTCAGGCTCATCCCTCTGAGGATATCACGCATGGAAGCTGCAGCTTCAGCTTCAACTTCAGATAACAGAGCAACTATAAGACATGACGTGAACTTTTCCACCGGTTCAAAATGTACGCTCTGTGGCCTAATTGGCACCGCTATGTAGCAACACTGACCATATTTAGCCCCCAATTTAAGTGTCGCTTAACATTTAGGCAGACTGGGGGTAAAAACCTGCATCATCACTTTCCCAAGCAGCTTCCTTATTGTTGTGTTATTTCTGCGATGGCGGCTTGGTGCATAATTAGTGCTGAAAGAGCTCCTCCGGTGTTTCTGCATTCCTGCTGATATGATACAAAATATAACAAAGGATTCTCGGTGTGTGTTGTAGCGTCCGATGGAAAGCTAACCCATCGTAGCCTTGACACCGGGTGACCCAATGCGGAGAGCGGAGGAGAGACACTGACACGGGCCGCGGTCAGAGCCGCATTAGCATTCACGTGTAGGTTCCCACGCATTTCAGGGCAGCGTGGGAGGGAGGAACTGCAGCCATAACTTTAGGGAGGCTAAAAAAGATGCAAACACCTACACACATCACATGATATGATATGTACTCGAGAAATTACCCAGCCGGCCGGACAAACACCCGACAATCCGTATTCGTTTTTGATTCTAATAAAACTTTTTGTATTTCCCGCCACTGACCAATTATAATGATGTTGTGGAACTTCCTGCAGTTCCTCTGATGACCACTACAACGTCCACCTTTACAGCAGATTATTATAAGATTATAAAATAGCTGCAGGTTGATTAATCTGTTGATTGTTAATTGTTGCAGCTGTAATTATATTAAAAGGGCAGAATGAATTCAGGTTGAAGCACTGTGATTCATTAACAACAAATAAGTGTTTTTACCCGCTGTGTAGAAAGGCATGACTCACAGCCTGGACCACTTACGAGTTGTGGTCATACCTGTGACAATTTCTCTAAATCGCTTGTATGTGCCACTTAAGGATGAAATTACTATTTCTTGCATGAAGCTAGATGACATCTGATATTTGACAAGTTCTGCTTGACAAATGAATTAAAACTATTATTGACTTGAGACAAATTTAGAGACAATGAAAGCAAAAATACCATTGTAGGAGACGGTTTGTAGTTGAATTAATCTCAAAGTGTACAAACCTGGAGATGAGGGAATTTTTTTTGGCAAACAGTGTCAATGCGTGGTTTCACATTTAGCCACAATGTGACACTAAATCAGTCATTAAGAAATAATACTTCTGGCCATGTACGAACAAGAGAAGGCCAAGGTAAAAGAAGCGTCTGTGCACACGAGTGTCACCTTTGCAGCCTCCTTGGGCAGGTCGAAGGGGATACGCTGGCGGATTTTGGGGGGCAGCTGACTGAGCACCTCAGCCTTCAGACGGCGGATCATGATCTGGCTCAGCCGCTGGTGCAGCTCCTCCAGGTTGGACGCCCCGCGACAGTCCCACTGCCTCCGACGCCCGAAGTACCTGTGAGAGATTGAATGAGTGGGTGAAGCCGTGCCTTGCTGATGCATCCGTTTTTTTTTTTTTTTTTTTAGACACATTTAAACTTCCGAAGAAAACATACTTATTTACAGCACTGCCCTGGAGGAATAGTTAAACACATTTAAACATTCCCACCAGGGAGCTGCCCAGCACCACAACAGCCTCCCATCGTTTACTGCTGAGCAGCTCTGCCGGAGCAGTCAGGGGATCAGTTTTTTGCTTAAGGGCGATTTGCAGAGCAGAAAACTATTTTGTTTAATGGCCACAGCAGCAGGTTCATCCCAAAACTCGCCAGCAACTTTCACAATTTATCAGCCAAATGGATTTTTAGAATAGAACTGGCCCTACATACAAAGGCTGGTTATCTGCCATATTGGCTGGAAGTGTGGACAAAGTTAACAAGGCACTGCCAAACATTTGCTGTTTCACACTTTGGTATTCAAACTTGCAGAAACCGACTCCTTCGAACATAATGTTTCAGCCCGGAGTGGGGATTTGAACCAGCAACTGCCCAGATGTAATGCTGCTTCTCTGTCTTCTGGGCTGCTGCCACAGTAACTTCACCGTTATGACAGGAATGCAATGGGAACACTTTGCTCAGATGATGCCTCTCTGTGTGTGAATGTGTGAATGTGTGTGTGTGTGTGTGTGTATGTGTGTGTGTGTGTGTGGCTCAGAAAAGGCATTCCCCAGCCGCACTGAGTGCTATTATATACAAAGTGTTATCATTAATGGCGCCGGGCCCATCCCCGACCGACTTTGATGGACATCCAAAACAATGCATTTGATGTGTTTGTTCACACATGTAACTGATCGTCACTGGCAACTGGCAGCCAGTTGGCATTTAACGCTTGGCTTCAGTTGCAGTCTGGCTCTGACAACAAACCCTCAACTCAGCAGCACCGCCACTCCAGACCCAGGCAGGTGAGATTTACTGAAACTTCAACTGAGCGAGAATCAAGAGCATATGAATAAGAAACAGACCAAACTGAGATATTACACTTAAAAGTTATAATCTGTAACTTATCCACATTAAAATGACTGCACCTATGATATATATTTTTTTTGAGTGGTGTTCTTACATTATCCAAAAAAAAAAAGGTGAGTGAATGTTCGACAGCTCAACTCCCAGCCGCTGGAGACGTCCTGTCCTGTGTCTGCCGCTTTATTCTGTGTTTCTACTGGTTTTTATCCACTGGTCTGTTTGTTTTGCTGAGGAGGACATCTCTGTGGATAATCCAGCTGCTGGTAAAAACCTCCTGATCGCCTTTTTAAGTTTTAGACAGAGCTAAGCTAGCTGTTCCCTCCAGTTGTTATGCTAGATGCTAGGCGTAGCTAACGCTCACCTGGCTCTAGCTACACAGTTAGCATCATCTTCACAGCTAACTTCTCTGGCAAGAAAGTGAATTAGCGTATTAACAAAAATGTGAAAAAATAAAGAATGACGTGAAAGTTAAAATACACAAAACGTAAATGAAATGTGCAGCTGTTTTATGATACAGTAAAGTAAATACGAGGTGCGTGTCGGCCTGTGTGTCAGTGTGGAGAGGTCACCTGTAATGGCCGTTGCAGAATTTCTTGGCGTAGTCGGTCCAGGTTCCAAAGCTCCTTGGATAGAGGGCATCGATCTGCATGAACAGCTGTGCAAATACACAGACAGGGAAGAACATCTTAACCACAATTCTGTACTAAACCAAACAACACAGCGTGTGTGTGTGTGTGTGTGTGTGTGTGTGTGTGTGAGGGAGAGAGAGACTCTGTACAAGCCACAGAGAATGAGCATGCACCATGCTTGGACCAAGCTCTAATAATGCAGGTGATTGGCTGTTTATTTACACGAACACATTTGAATGTGAGAAGAGACCGAACTAAAATTTGTACTGTAGCTAATGTGTATTGTAATTTTTTTTTTTTTGTTAAAATGAATTTGATCAAATTGGTCAAAGTAAGAGTATCAATACTGATATTGAACATTTTTGATCAATACGGGGGTTTTCTGCTACAGCCTTTCTTGATCTGCAATGACCTGTAGCTTATAGTAGCTAATGTTAGCTATTAGCAATCTTAACTTAAACACACCGTATCTCACCTGGAGACACATTTTATCCATATTTTATCCAGTATTCGATCAATGAAATACCATTAGCTGATAAGATTAGCCCAACAGCTGACGGGACAAATGACCTAAAATATCTCAATACCTAAATATGTTAACCTCAAGTGATGGTTTAACTGTGGAAGAACTTCCTGTCACGTAGAAACAGGTTGCGGTCGCTTCATATTTAGCAGCTGTGAGACTAATCAATCTTCTCATCTTGCCACAAAGAAGATTTCCTTTAAAAATAAAAGGTCATTTTTCCATTATATCAAATAAATTCAAAAACACTGGCAACTGACAACACTGGCGGATTTAGGAATGCATCATTAAGACTTTTTTAGTTCCCACAACTTCTCAACTTCTAGCTTCTGAAAGCTGAAAGCACGCCATAACTCAAACCTTTTTTTGGCTCCAAACACAGACCTTACCTGTGCTCACGATTAGTCTACTGTCACGAGGCGGTTCCTGTGTGCAATTTATTCAAGGTCCTGCTGTCCTTCGCCTAGTTTACCAGTCCTGCGTAGTGCAACTGTGTGGTAATTTGTGTCAGTGCCAATTAACCAGGTCAAACCGCGGCGCAGGCACACATAGGCAAGAGAAAGCGGAACTGATTTGAAAATTAAATGAAATACGCACTGAGAATATCAACCTACTGCTGCTAGACATGAAAATAATGAGTCATCACAAGATCTTGATTTTGAGAAACTGATAAATTACAAGCTGCTGTTTTCTGTCATCAGTGGACATATGGCGTTTTTGAGATCGTGTGTGCAACAAAGCTCCCCCAGAATATATGTGTGTGTGTGTGTGTGTGTGTGCGTGTGTGTGTGTGCGTGTGTGTGTACACACCACATCCCTGTCAATTTTCAGTATTTGCGGCAATTTCTGAAGTAATGACAGGTAATCATCAGCAAGGCGATCTGAATAAGCAGCCACAGTGAGAGTGCTATTCTAAATTCAGAGCTTGTTCAACAGGGGCTTTGCATCCCCCCACCCCCCACCCCCCCCTCACACTGTTGATATAATAGGTGGGTGGAATGAGGGCACATCATGAACAGTGCAGCATGCCCTGAGCTGTGTGCTAACTCGATGTCAGCGCCACAGTGAGTAATGATGGCAGTGAGGAGACTTGCACAGAGGCAGGGACAGGGCTTATCAGGTTTATGCTGCGGATGATAAAATGTTATATTCAGTTTCAGATTCTAGTGGCAGAGAGAGAGAGAGAGAAAGAAAGAGAGAGGGAGCGATATCTAAGAGCTCACCTCACCACTGCAGGCAGGCACTGGCACAGACAGGATGGCATGTATCACACATACACACACATATACGCACTATAGGCTATAACACACACACACACACACACACCTTCTCGAGATTTCTTACAAGTATGAACTTCGCTTCATTTTGGAATTAATTAGGTGCCTGAATCTCATCAGTTAATTATCATGATCGGGTCTAGGCAATAATTAAGTTTTGCTCACAGCGATGTGGCAGTTGTACGACAGTGAGATCTGAGGCCCGTGTCACATAAGATACTTTAACATAGTCAACGCGAAACCGATGATGTCACCCCTGGTTATCATCACCACAAGCTTCTTTCCACAACACGGGGCAGAATCTGGAGCACCAGTTTGCCGCCGATCAGTTTTTAATATTTTATGAATAACCATTATTATCCTTCATGATCTCACATTTAATTACATCCTGATTATGTGCATACAAGAGTGTGACCTGGGATTAAATCATTGCCCATTAACAATAACCAATCTTCATTTTAAGTGTTTTTACCAAGGAACAAGTTCTGGTGATATTTCGCTCATTGTCAACAAATCCCACGAAAAGACCAAACTGATCCTAACACACACACACACGCGCGCTTTAGTTTATTTTGGCTCAATCCAACATACACAGTCCTGCTGCTGTGAATACTCCCTCAATCAGAGCACCAAATGTGTATTAATCCACCACTAAAAAATAGTCCCAAACAAGTGCACTATTTCCTGGATGGAGACGGCACACTTAGCATCATTTCCTGTATCTGTGTCTATTCACTCCCATGGGAGAAGTGAACGTGATCACAGAGTATATGACGATTCTTTCGCCTCATAGTCACGGAAATAAATATTGGATCCATTGATTATTATTTAGCTGTTTTTGGAGGGAAAAAAGAGTATATTATTAGACGGATATGATCTTGTGCTGGGTTGATCAGATATTAAGCTAGCAGATAAAAACAAGCTGCAAAATCGGACGCAAATTCATTCTGTATCTAGTGTTGTATTGTTTTGTTGTTATGTTTTTAGCATGGACCAGAGCCATGGAAAGAAACACGGCTCTAACATGGACCAGCCAATCACGACCACAGCCAGTGCAGTAGCAACATTTATCACACACACACAGGTCTGATGATTTCTTGACTGTTACATTTTTATAAAGTGATGTTTTTCTGAACTTTAAAACTGACTGTTGTTCATTTAATCGATGAAACACTATAGAATATAGAAAAATACTGAAGATTTGAAACCAAAGCTTTCAGGGGCCTTGACACAAATCTTCTTTCTTCCATGTTTGTTTCAATTATTTTATGAATCTTTTCTCTGTTTGTAAAGCACTCTGACACTGTTAAGAAAAGTTGTGTATCAATAAAGTTTCATGATATTCGGTATGCAACACAGATAGTCAGAAAATAACTAAAAATGCTACATTGCAGGTTATGAATAATTATGAGGCCTTGTGTGTGTGTGTATGCACTGGAGAGCAGAGGTATTCATAAACAGCATGTTCTGAACAGTATGTACAGTATGTTCCAATGTTTTGGACACAATCAATAGGTGAAATCAACTGTATAATTCATAAATACGAATATTCGTTAAATAATCATCATGATAATTTAAGCAACATATAAATACAGCGACTTTAAGAGGAGACAATGTAAATGCCGGAGCACAAAGCTGTATCAGTGCCCCATCATTACATTATGGCACAGTGGACATACAGCACTTGTTACTGATGCTATATTGTGTCTTCACACTGAGACTGTGAAAAGATTTTCTATTCACAAAGTTCACTTCATCTCCTGCAGCTGCAGTGATGGACTGCGCCAGCGATCTACAGCTTCAATATAACATATATAAAAATGATATAATAAATCATTATGGAGAGGGGAGCGGCTCTGCTGCTCTCCAAACACCATTGTCCTGTGAAGAGCCCTTCTTATTGTCTCTAAATTCAATAGTTTGCCCCCCCTGTGTGCTTCTTTTTATTACTTGTCTCATTTATTGCGGTGCACTGTCTGTTCATATCGGGCTTTGTAAATGAAGTTTTTGCAACAAAGGTTATTGAAATAAGTCCACGGGATCCTCGAGGATAAGTGATGCCGGAGAGAGTTAATTGGCTTTTTGAATGTTGGATCTGAGTATTACCTGCTCTGGAGCAAGTTACCATGGCGATCTACCTGCGCTGTTGAGTGCAACACCTTTGTGAGAAGCCAGAGCTGAGCCCTGGGTTGGCCTACTAATCTTCCTTCATGAGTTTGGGCTCACGTATACTTTAGAGGCATATGGATGTATCTTTAGAATCTGTTGAATCTGGTCTCTTAGATTAGACACTGTTCCTTCCTCGTTAGCTATATGTTTGATCTCCTATCAGAAATTAAAGGACGTTTAAATCTGAAAACACAGGACATTATTCATTACCTCCTCAGGTCGACCCAGGGCCGGGGTGCCGGTGAGCAGGATGGCCCGCTTGGCGCTCTGAACGAGGGGAACCAGAATCTTAGTCCGTGCCGCATTCCTGGACTTGAGGTAATGTGACTCGTCCACCACGACCACGGCGAACCGCTGCCTGGTCAGAGCCTCCACTAGGGGGCGCGCATCTGTGGTGAGCAGCCCATAACCCAACACCGTCACCTTACTGCTGCTGATGCCCCTGGAGGAACGAGGACATGAACACTGAGCAAAAACAGTGTAGAAAACGACGTACAACAACAAACATTAAACATCTATTTATTCTGTGATTGCTGTTTATCTGGGTGCATTGACCAGTTGCTGTCATAATCAATTATTCTGCTGATTATTTCCTCAATTGATCGATTCATCGTTTGTTTAATAACATGTCAGATAATAATGAAAAACTGTCTTAAAGCAGCTGGGATCTGCAGTTTTTATCAAACATTAACTCAAACTGAGCGAAACAGTGCATTTGTGGGGGACTATTTTCAGCAGCGGATTAATACACATTTGATGCTCCAGTGAGTTTTTACAGCAGCATGAGCCAATGAAAGCCTACGGCAATGTATTGAAGGAGCATGTGACCCACTGCAACAGTTCAGCTCATTGATGTGTTTTCAGTCATTCTTGTACAACACTGGGGCTCTATAGCTCAGAGGAGTAAATTATATCAGGATATTCTTAAATAATAATTGTTAGTACATGTAGGATCAATCCCATGTTGGTGCTCATGGGATTTGGTGGCCTTAAAAAAAACTAAAAACTACAGCATACCATCAGACTTCCTGTAGTCACCGTTAAAGTTGACAAGTGTGTGTCAACACTTAAATACAAACTCAACATCTGTTCAAATGTTCAAGCGTTTATTGACTTGGCAACTGAGCCATCAAGGTAAAGTAAACCAGACAATTTAAAAAAAAAAAAAAAAAAAGGGACACAAGTTGTGGACACAAGAGTCGTACGCAAACTGGCACCGCAGCTCTTTTCATAAATCTCCTCTCCTTCAGCGCTTAAGAAAATCCATTCCTGGGGCTGCATTGCAATTTCTATATTTTCCAAGCTATATGCAGCCCTAACACAAACACACAGGCACCGTCACAGATAAACAAACAAACACAGACGCGACATTCAGCTGCATGAAACTCAATAAGAATCTCTGAGAAATCAAAAACATTTCCAGCATCTGTCAGGCTCTAATTCTTCGCCTTCACCGCGCACACACACACACACACACACACACATTTCCAAGCTGAAATAAACCTAAGGTGCCATTCATGTTCTACAAAAGAACAAGTGAGTCAAAACACCGAAAGGAGGAGCTGCATAATTTTTTCTTGCCTCCTCATTCAGTCATTAACACATCCAGTTCAAGGACACATTTCCCCCCCGAGGGCTTTCACAACCTCTTTGCGCCTCATCTGTGATGTGAGGTGGGAAGGTTTTTTTCCTCCCCCCTTCTCTGCCACAAATATAGAAAGTTTGTTTCATTCAAAAATAAAAACTAAGAGAACTAGGGGAAAGTTGAGAAGATAATAAAAGTAGCTGTTTTCCTCCACATTAGTCCACAATGCAGAGACACACAGGAATCAATACAAACAGCTGTGAAAATGAGGCAACGTTTCTCCACGACAGCATTTTTTCCCCACTTCCTGCATTGAGAAATTTCAGCTCTTGTTCAATATTGCAGACGTCACCTTGACATGATGTGTCTGTCAGCGCTGTCAAACATCGGCCCCTGCCGGCTCCTGACACCCGGGGACACTTTGAGATTAATTTGTCAGCCACAAGTTTTCTGTGTGTGTCACACTCGCCCTCACTCTCTCACACCGTGTGACCGAGTGTGTTTTGAGTTTTTATTCCGTCTGTGGGGAGACGATGCCATGCAAATTATTATAGGGACGACTTCCCCTTAAATTCAAATTATGGCTGCAGCCTTTCACTTCCATAATCCCATGCGTGATGAACATAATCCTTGGATTATACTGTATTATTGCATAGATATCCCAAACATATTTATCAGCTTTAAAGAGATTTTGTATGGGCGTGAATGTGCGAAAACGTGTCCCTATCTGCTCGATAACATGGCGAAAGGCAAAAATGGCAAAAAAAAAATGGCTTCCAGCTCTTCACATGTGAATATTTGCTGCTTTTCTTAGTCATGTATGATAGTAAATTGAATGTCTTTGAGTCGTGGCTTGTTGGTTGGACAAAACAAGCAATTTGGAGATTTCGCTTTAGGCTTTAGAGCAATGTGATGGGTATTTTTCTCACTTTTCAATTAACAAATAATCAGGAAATATGAAAATCATTTTTTCCCCCTAAAAAAAAAAGGTTGTTTTCCTTTTCTTTAAGTGTCACTTATTATTGGTTAGATTTCTGACCGTGTGACCTTTAACCAAAACAAGTAATATATGCAGCTATTTTTTTTTTTTCATTAACAGTAACACCAAACAGTATGAAATTTTGCATATTTCCTTCAAAGTTCAAACTCTCTGGCTCCCAAACCACAGCTTTATTAAACTGTCAGGCTACCATTGTCTCATACTGAGGCTTTATCAGTTTGCCAATATTAGCCTTTCATTAAAAAACAGATATTGGCCAGTCAGTGTCATCCACAACTGATATGAGGAATAAAATTAACTTCATTGTCTATGTGAAGCCTATAATCGAAATATATTCTGTAAAGTCATTTGGATGATGATTCTTTAAAAAACATGCACTTTATTATAGAGTCTAATATAATTACAAAGTATAAAGTGAGCAGAGCATCCCAATGATTTCTTTCCAAAAAGGAGAATAAATGTGTAGAGGAGTCACATCATACTTAAAATGGTCGACATAGAAAAGGTCAAGCTAAATGCAATAATGCTTCTGGCTCTTTAGTTGCTAAATGCTCCACTGTGTTCACCAGCTAGTCACCAGCTTCTGTTCCCTCTGCCGTTTGATGCTGAGCAGGTCACATATAGTAGATTAATACAAGCTGTGTCACTGAATAAGCGGTGCCGTAAACCCCAAAACAATGAGCTGAACGACGCTAAAACACAAGTGATAACTAAAACCAACCACACATTAGCTGCTAAGAACCACAACGGCACGTAGACAAAGTTAGCAATTAGCTAACAGTAGAGCATTTAGCAGCTAAAGAAGAGCCTGATATTTCCCTCAGGAGTCGGTGAAGACCAAAACACAGATGAAAGGAGAATGAATATTGGACTTAGTGGCCTGGAAACATGACGCCAAAGAAATGCTAATGTTGTTCTGTATTTGCTGAAAGTGTAAATTAAGCCAGTGTTTGTGATAATACGTTAATGTTGTGTTTACAGCTTGTTCTCGCTGCCTCCAGGTGGCTGAAAAAAAATCAATTAACGTAGCTCTAAGAAAGTCAGAAGTCAATTAAATAAAAAAAACTAAGATGACGACTTCACATTATAACGTGTGTGTGTAGCCAGGAGGGAGGAGGGTGTTACAGTGCGATGACCTACATGGTGTGGCTCTTGTTCTCCACCAGGTTGACGTCTCCAGGCTGCAGCTCGGGGATCCACCTCTCCAGCTCCTCGATCCAGGGGTATTTCAGGGACGAGGGCACCACCACCAGGAGAGGCCACTCCTGCCTGAAGGCGTACGCCACCGCGATGGCCTGCACCGTCTTCCCAAGACCCATCTGGACCGACCAAATCAACACCCGGGCGAAGGGGGAGAAAAACAAGTCAATCGCGCACAGACTCTGCGATAAATTGCATATGACGGCCGAGCTGATGTGAGGCCCAAGAGTAATAAGGTCTCAGAATGATTCTTGTGTCAAAACCGATTAGGCACGTGGGAGTGCTGCACAGGGCTGACAAATTAATTTGGAAGGCATGCAGCGAAGTCTCAGGTTCATTTTTTTTTTTTTTTTTGGTTGGGGAGGGGGGGGGTAGATTTCCTGAGCCAGCGATGTGTGTGCTTACCTCATCAGCAATCATACATCTGTAAAACAAAGAGGAAACAGAAAACTTTATCAGATGGGTTTTCAGACTAGGAAATTGCTTTGTAGAGCTGAAACCTAGCTGCTGTAAAACTCACGAGTTACTAGTGTACACAGAAGCACAACAGCCCCCTGCAGCATAAGGGCCTTGCTCAAGGGGTACAACAGCATTAATTAGAGAGACATTTATTCTGATTCGCCATTCCAGACATTCGTGACTTGTACCAGAAATCCTCCTGTCACAAGCCGACTTCTCAACCCTTCTCTGGTGCACACACACAAAGTCACAGTGGTGAGGCAGCGCCGCCACCGCCGCCTCAGAGTCAGCGTCTCTTGGACAAATTTCAAGTCTGTCACTTGTGATTTAGGGAGGCACCGGTACTTTGTTTGAGTTTTGAGAGTTGTTGCTAGTATTCAATATTTATGTCGTTGTTCCTGTTGGATTTTTCTGTTTCTGATGGAGCTGAGACTCTGGAGAGTGTTCACTGTTTGGGTTCATCCGGTTCGTAGTAAAAGTAACATGGCGGGTTTAATGTAAAATAATAAAAAAATATTATAATGATACAGGAAACTGTCAATCAAGTTGTATATCCTTTGTTTTTAATTATGTCTCTTTAAGACAGGACAAGTTGTCCCACAAAAATCAAGCTTCCAGTCTGACAGGTGCAGAAGGAGAGACTGAGGTTCAACATAAAATTTGCTGTTCATTTAATAGCTCAGCTCTCCATTCACTGTCTATGGGTCCGAGGCATCGAAAAATTCAGGGGTCGGCTCTCCGGTTGAGCTTCAGGGAGGAGTGGAGCGTTTTTATTTGTATTGACCAAACTGTCGCACGGCACAGATGTGAATCAATTTAAGAAGCGGTGGGCTGAAAGCAAATTTTACACAAGAGCAAAAAAAACAGGCTGTTTCTGCAGAGGAGAATGACCAGCCCACCTTTCCTAGTGCATTAACATACATATAAAATAAAAGATTACTGTAAACCAAACACATTTTAGGTTACAGATTTATTTTAAATGTGTCCATTATTACATTATGCGTGTGTCATGTGTGCACGGTGGGATAACAGATGCTATTTTGTAGTGTTTGTTTTTTTGTATCGTCACTTTTTATCTGTGCACACACAGTATAACCTGCTTTCTCCATCATTAACCGTCTTTTAGGAAATTGCAGATTTCAGCGTTGTGAGATACATTCTCCTTTTCACCAAGCGCACAGCACGCAGCATCACTATTCATTCTCCAATATGTCTCCTTATGGGAGGCATCACTGCATTGCTGGTGGTGCATGGAAGGAGGTCCAGGAGTTATTATTAGTGAAAAACTGCCACATGGTAACCGATACAGGTTTGAAATCCAATCCAATTACACACATTACCACAGCACTATTATTGATACGAGCTAAAACAGTTAATCGATTAGTCAGTTGACAAAAAATGTAATCTGTAATCTACCCTCGTTAATCCTGATTATCCTTTGAATCCATATTTTTAACAGAGTGAGATTAACCTGCGATTGAACCTGGAACAAGCAGCAGCTCACCTCTTGTGGCTGTCTCTGATAACATATCTTTTTGCTGCCAACCAGTTTCCTTTACACTGTATATTATAAGGAACAATGAAAGCGCGACGGAGCCCTCATCTGAAGTCGTACAGATAGACCAACCTCTGGTTCTCTCTGCCCAGTGGGTTTGGGGCCTATTGTCGTGACCTTGCTTATTCATAAATGCTTCCAACATCATGTCAGAGCAAACAGTGCGACAGAGCAGCGCTGAATACCTCAGACACACTATCTCATTATTCTTTCTCCTCCTCCTCCACTTCCTCCCCCCATCTCCGCCCCATTTCTCTCTTTCAGCTGAGGAACATGATTAATGTGCACCTTGCCACTGGTGGTTTTTCTAATTGCCAGCACACCGGCCCAGTCAGCGCAATGCACACACACACACACACACACACACATACACACACACACACAGGCCTTATGTGTGTGAAAAAAATACACACAAAGGAAAAAGACATGCATACACAAAATACACGTGAACAAAAGGAAGTCCACACACAAATGCAGACACGTGCAGACTTATGCGCACACACACACACACACACACACACACACATATATATATATATATATGTGTGAGCATGTATGTGTGTGTGTGCTTGCGCATACATCCACCCACACACACACACCCACACACTCACAAACTAGGCAGGGAGTGCGGCTGGGGCAGGTGCTTGCCATTTCTCAACACATTAATCATCCTCCTTTAAATAACCTGAGTGTCGTCTTGACGGTTTGAGACTGCGAGGATGCTGCAGTGCTGTTGCCTGACGACGGCACGGTCCCCGTCACCGCATCTTTCTAATGTTATCTCTGAAACCCACAAGCCCCAAAGTGTCAGGAAATGGGCTCCCCTGCCTCCCAAGCTGGCTCCGATGATTTGATGGCTTTGACCTCTGCACGGCGATGTGCTGTGTGGCCCCCGTGTCTAACCCCAATCTACCAGCCCTGTTAAGGTTCTCTTCTGAGGGCTGGACCTGTAGTGCATCGTGGTCAGCAGGAAAACTACTCAGAGGTTGGACGTTGCACAAAAGGCTGACTTAAAGAGGTGCTACAGTGTGACACGCTCAGACCCACTGGGTTCTCACACACAGTTGTGGGTTCAGAGTGCGGTTTTGCTATTTACTGTAAATGTACTTATAATCCAAACAAAGTAGCTTTTAGCAGAAGAGGTTTTGGCTAAAGTTTTTTCCTGCTTGTCGGAGATGGAGGACGACTGCGTTTCAATCGTGTGTATGACTTTAAAGGGGAAAGTTAAACCCCAGCTATATGGGACAATCCACAACTAGCGTTTCCCTTACGTTTCATTTTTTCGGAACTTCAGTGTTGCTTTAAATATAAAAACACACACACACAATCTTAGTTTTGTACTTGATGTACTTTGACAATAGTTACACACACCCCAGCTCTTTTTTTATCTTCTGTGGACTGTTTTTTACCTCTTCCTTTTTCCAAACTTTAGTCTTTCCCAAAGTGATTTATTCCCATTTTTTTACTGTACATTGAATAGAGGTCTCTTACTGCACTGAAGCTTTAGTGAGGTACCTCACTTGTGAGTCGCTTTGGATAAAAGCATCTGCAACATGAGTAAAGTGTAAAAAAAAATGAGTAAATATTTAATAAAGTTTCACCCCAGGGTGACATTTACATTAACTATACTTTCATATTATGTTTTCAACCATATCCAAACAGAAGAAAGAAGCAACATACATGGAAAAAGATGATCTTATTAGAAAAGAAAAGACCTGGTAAATAGGCAGATGTCATAGAAAGGCAAAACAGCGTCCAGCATGTGAGTTTCAGGTCAGCAGCAGTGAGAGTAAAATAATCTTCCTAAGTTAATTCCTAAGCAATAACGTTGACAAGTTGCTAAATGTTGCTAATATTAGTTCATGTTAGCTAGATATTGCTGTGTAACTGACATTACTGAATCGGTTTGTGGACTGTAAAATCTTTTACTTGTGCTACTGCAAAGTTTTAAAATATCTATGTGCAGGATTTCAGGGAAAATTGTGCAACAACTGAACGTTTCAGGAAAACCTGCATCAAGCACTAGAACTAATCCAAGTGTGTTCCTTTATGATCTGTGGGTGTTATGTGACTACACTCCACATTATTGCCTTCGATGATCCTTGAACTTTCCTTTGCTATGTTTAATCATAATCCTTGACCTTCTGTATCTGTTACTGTAGGATGTGCATAAAGATGTATGACTGTATGTCGCGTTTGGCTCCAATGATGCATTTACTCTGAAGTTTATTGAAATGATAAACTAACTGAACTGTGAACATGAATTTTTCATGATATAAAACATGCTGAAAGTGTTTCCCACCAACACAAGTCAAAGCTTATTTATCACGTGTAGCCTCTTTACTTTGCTTCAGTAAAAAAGCTCTTCTTTACATCCTGCCTGGCTACAATCCAAAAAATAGAAGGTGGGCTATTAAGGATACGGGTTACTGATCATGAGTAAAATTACATTTTTCATGCTGTATAATAGAATCTCCACAAAAATATAATACCCTATTATATTAAAACCTAAATAAATTTCATGCTTAATTAGGAGGAAATGCAATTTAGAGCACCAAGTGCAATAAATACTATAACTGAGCATTTTAAAAAGGCAGCCATGTTACAGTATGCTGTCTTCACTTTAGAGTACAGAGGACTGATGGAGAGCTTTGTCACACGGTGCAGCTACAATCACCTGACGTTCAGTATCAACAAAACCAATGAGCTTGTGATGGACTACCAGAGAAACAGCAGACCCCCTGTCCCGGCTGTCATCCCGGGAGAGGAAGTGAACTCCTACACATTAAATCAATAAAAAGACTTCCCTTGACGGGAAGGGACAGATTAAGGCATTCCTGAGAAATCGCTGTTACGCTTTGTCAAGTCACAGTGACCTTGACCTTTGACCTCTAACCACCAAATTCGAATCAGCTCATCCTTGAGTCCAAGTGAACGTTTCTACCAAATTTGAAGAAATTACCTCACGGCGTTACTGAGATATCTCGTTCACGAGAGTGGGACAGACGTACAGCCTGAAAACATAACGCCTCCGGCCACGACTATCACCGGTGCAGAGGCATAAAAAAAAAAAAGCAATGGAGCATTAAAGCAGCTTTCATACTGATGTGTGTACTGAATCTCATTTTGTCTGCATTTACAGGGCACTCCACTGATTTTACACATGAAGCTCAGATCAATTTAGTCATGAGGAGAACTACTCAGTGTGTGAAAACAGATCCATAATGTCCTCCGTGGCCTTGGTGGAGGGAGCTTTCTAAAGTGTGAAAATAAAACATCCTCGGATGATGTCATCAGGGTTATCTCAGCTTGGGCTTGGCGACTGCAGATTTATAACAGAAAACCTGTGCATTGAGTTTGAAAGGCATAAGCACATTTTTATAAGGGAGGGTGTAAAAAAAAAATAAACCATAATTTTGCCTTAAGGGAAACGTAGGAGCTCTAGCCATACTGGGGGCTAAAATGCGCGGTTCCCACCAAAAACACACAGAGAAAATACCTGTTGATGCATTACATGAAGATTACATAAAGTTGACAACTTCCACCAAAGTATCAATGTCTCGACTGAATCTGAATATGACACAGACGTGAAAAATATAAATACTATATATTGTTTATCCAGTTTAGCAGCTGCATGTGGAGACAGTGGTACTTTAGGGACATTTTCTGTCCAATATAAATCATAAATTGATTAATAATGAAAAGAAATCCAAAATTCAGGTAGCCTGCAAACTCTATGCAGAGAGACAGAGCTGGCAGTTCAGTGATGCAGCCGCCACGCACACGCAACACAGGCAGTGTGCTCCTAGTATAATACTGTGCTCTTTGAGTGGTGTTCATCAAACCCCTCTTAGAAATTGATGGTTGTAACTGTAACTACCAATGTGCTGCTGAATAGACCAAATGCTTTCATGCAGCCACTCTCCGTCCAGCCTCTGTTTCACGAACAATACTTATGGGCCAGTACAAATGTTGCGTAAATACATCAACTTGCATGTGTACAGAGGACAAACTCCATCTCTGAATGGGCTTCTCTCAGTAAATTTCAACATCGCAGGCAGAGACGACACAGCCTGCTTATTGATCCCCCCTCACATCAGCAGAGTAGCCTTATTCAATAAAAGCACAGACGGGCGCTTATAAAAATATTTTGGACAAATCAGAGCAGGATGGACAGGCATTGCATCACATGGCTTCAATCTGCAGTCAACACCTTAATGGAAGAGCTCTTAATGGATGTACTTTTACTCCAAATTGATTTTGTTTTTTCAATATCTGGGCAGGCCCATTCAGAGTTGACATTTTACAGATGTACCCCGGTTAAATTTTAGAAATTAAAACTTCTGCCCAACTTTCCAAACAACACAATCAACCTCATCTCACAGCGTTTCATTATCATACTGTACTACAACTTTCCCGCATTATCCGTCATCTAACTCCATAAAATTCACTCACCCTCCTACACAGACTGATACAGCGGGCTCCATAAGTATTGCAACAACATTTTTGATGTTTTGGTTCGGTGCTCTTGATGCTCTGGGTGTGAAAAGACACAATGACTATGAGATTTAAAGGAAAAATCCACCCACGGATCCTCCCACACGGGTAGATATCCAACATCAATCTATGATTCACTGCATTTCAGGAGTTATTTTATAATGAAGAGCATTGACATTTTTTTTTTTTTTTTTGTCAGTCAGCCTAGCCCATCTAGTTCCACTTCAGTTAGTCATATCCTACATTTCCCAGAATTGTTATACTCCTTCCGAAAAATCCAACAAGTCTGCAACTGCATTGCATTCTGGTCTATTCAGGCAGAAATATTGTCATTTCTGCCTCTTCTACGAGTTTCTGTTGAATCAGTTAAAAAAAAAAAAAAAAAAGAGGCTGCTGCTTCAAATTGAGGCTCTTTCCAAGGATATTGAGTGAACAAATAAAGAACAGCAGGGTGCCTCAAATACTTAGAAAGATCAAGATAACTGTCAATAACAATCATTCTTAGCTTGCAATCACCCGTGCTGTCCGTCTGCATGTGAGTGGGATGGTAGATATACTGTATGTGGATGAGTGTGGTGCAGTGTGCTTAAAAATACTGTTTTTAAGCACATATATGTATAAAAAATAAAAATAACAGCGACAAATAAATGGATGGAAATGTGCATTAATTCACATTTTCTTTCTTTCTCGCAACCAGGATGTGGAAAAAGATGGTTTCCTATAATGTTTTAATGCTAATTAATGACACTGTAGAGAAAAATGTGATGTAAAACTTGAATACCTTGAAGTACCTTGTGACAAATATGGCGCAATTGTAAATGAGAGCTGGGCAGCAGGGGCAGGTCAGGTAGGCACAGCAGGACTATCAAGCTCTGGGTTTCTCCACATGCTGAAGTGGTGTGCATGGGGCGGTGGTAAAATGAAAACACAAACATTTAAATAGTTCAAATGGGGTTTTTTTTGTAGCCCTTTCTAAAACCAAAAACACAAGTGCAAGGAACTGAGTGAACAATGCGCCTGTCTGCACCAACGTAACCTGCAATCATGCAGCACGTATTACTGACAAGCGTGCAGTAGTAATCTAGCGTTATAAAGACAAGGAGCACATCATGCTACGCTAAACAAAGCCTCATTTCACACTAACAGATCTGCTGTGGTGTACAGCATATCCCAACTGTGTGGAAGTCAGTACCAAACATCCTTCTCTTGTAGCATTAAAACTGAAAACAAACTGTAAGTGAAGCAGCCAGAGTTATATTATAATGAAATATCAGTTTGATCTTACCTTTATCATACTAGGACTAATTCACTCTACAATGCAATACAACAAATAATGCTCCTTAATCTTCTACACGGATCATCAACAGGTGACGATTCTGACTTCTTACCAGGCAGCTTTAGCTTCAGTCTTTTAGCGCGATATCGTTTATGTGGCCGTTAAGTGCAGATTAAAGACCCTTGTCAAGCTGGAGACGGCATTTTCAAACACTCATGGAGCTCACATTCACTTTATTCTGTCATCAGTCGGCTAGAAATGAGGAGCTGTTCACCTTTGTCTGAAATCAAGGAGCCATTGTACCAAAAATTATCAGTTTCCAGTGGTAAATCTGCAGCTATTATTGTAGGAGAAAGTGTGAAAAGTGCTTTATCTTCTCCAGTTTTGGAGGAGGATGAGCCTTGACTTTAAATCTATTGAGACACTCTGGGGTGAAAGCTTTAGTTGGAGTGAGGACCTCTATACCCTGACCTGTTTGTTAGAGGTAGGGCTTCAACACGCTTTAGTGAAAGAAAAACAGGCCAAGTTTAAAAGTAAGATGCAGCATTGGCTTGATACTTAGACCCCATATTAAAGATTATTTGAGAATTACACTTAGAGGGTTAAATTGCACAGCTAGAGAATAGTTATTTCCTCTGTCTGTATATATTTATAAGTTAACTAACTAGGCAACACATCAAACATCATGTCAGTGTTCATTCTACTTTCAGATCTCGCTCTACCTACATTATCTTCTGCTCCACAGAGAAGCACTGCCCGCGCTGCTCTTACTGTCACATTGATGCCAATTGACCGAGGTAGCTGTCCACATGCTGCAGCATGAGCCAATTGACTTCTGACCCACCGGTGTAACAAAGCAGTGCCTCCCAGTGTTCCTGAATCGATATGGCTGCTCCGCAACACAGGGGCAGTACTCAGATTGGCTCCCCCTATGCTGACCTTCCCGCAAAAACCCAAGCGTACATCGACTGGCCGGGGAGAAGGAAACGGGTAAGTCCTGGCCCGTTCCTGCAGCTAATGCTCACCACAGCAAAACACTTACAGACTTAAGGGCAACTCAGAAAATTCCCATGGACTGGTAATTGCTTTCAAAGATATAAGCTGGACTCTATCTGACCTTCTGAATTTAGAATATATTCACATAGACTCTTGACATTTTGAGCCATGTAGCTTGGGTGGAAATCACATTTTACCCGTTGCACCATTGAGGTGGGGTGGGGCTGCTTACTTTAAAGCTCCATTAGGCAAATTGTCTGTGTAAAAATGCCATTCTATTAGACTCAATAACACACTGGTGCAGCAATAGAGAGAAGAATGTGTTATACTACAGGTTTTTTTTGTATGCTCAGATGAATTTCTGTTACGCGTGTTCACAAACTTCATCAGGAAATGAAAAATCAAAAGATCTCAGAACCTTTGTAGCTGTATCTCCTCAGTGTCTTTTAGTATTTAATTGAAGGGCGAAAAGATTGGTAAATATGGATGCATTTTGTGTAGCTGAATAATTGATATTCAAAGCTACCCTTTGAATTCTTTTTTGTTAACAAAGTTATGTTTACATTCACTCTTTCTCATAAAAACACATTGTGAGTATCATTAAAGCCTGATAAATATGTTCACTGTAAAGTAAAATGTAAAGACTGTGGAGTAAAGATTCAAGAAGCTGGTTGTGTTATTCTATGAAATGCTCAGACAATAGGCTTGAGTTGAAAGCATCTTCATAGCAATAAATCAATATTTACACACTGCAGAGGTGGAGGGGAATATAAGGCTGCAAACACAGAGTGGCACAAACCCAGAGGGGGACTGCACTGCTCTCAAATGGAGCCACTCCAAAACGAATAATAGATCTACTTATCTGTAGTTCTACATTTAGATTACAAAAGGTATATTTCCTCTCTTTGTTATTATTGACGTTGCAAACAAGATGCAAGCTGACCTTTATTTTCAATCTCTTTAAAATACTGTTTTTCTGAATGTTACCCTCATGTCAGAGATGAGCCTTAACACAGAGCTTAACATTAAAAACTTCAAAAACAAAACTAAGGGGTACTAACTGACTAACAAACAACTGAGCTGTGATGTAACCGAGTTAGCCGCTGCACTGCTTACCGTCCATTCCTAGATAAAGCAAACTCGACGCCCTCTCTTTGGAAAGGCATCAGGCGCCGCAGGAGCTTGTGAGGAAGGCCTGACAGTTGCTGTGACCATCTTGTATCACAGCGAGAGGTCTGTAGGCCATTATCATCCATTTCCATTAGTAAGTCCTCATCAGTTTCTTGGTTCTTGCTCAGTCAGCCGGCTCTGATTCTAGGCAGAAAAAAAAAAACACTGTTAAAACAAAATGTCTGTCTAAACATTCACCTGTATGTAGGCTAATTTAAGTGAATATTCACTACAGCATCTATTAGACATGTAAGAGCACGTTCGTTTATCATGTGCATTGCTGATTTAAACATGTTTTATAATGATGGTAAGTAGCATTCCTCTGCTGCCTACCAGCACTGACAGGAGTACCATTATTAGAAGCTGGATGATGCAGCATAGTGGACAAAGAAAGTCTGAATTTTAGATGAGATGGTAAAAGTTGCCTGTCTCAGCTGCCTCCAGTTACAGCAACAGCATCTCCTTTGTGTTGCCACACCTGGTACAGTTCTGGTCAATCCGGCACACTAACAACCCCACAATATCATTCCTGTGTCAAAAAGTAAAAGCTTCCAGATAGAAGAGCACAAGCTGCTGTCTACAGTTGAGAACAAACGTCATGAATGTCATGTTTATTATTATATAACGAGTTGGTATTTTATTTAAAAAGAAGCCTACTTTCAGCTTTCCACTCTTTCTTTAATATTAATAAACTTTCAGTGGACGAAAAGTGCACTGATATCTTTTCAACAGTTGTCCACCCTCGTGGTGGACAACTGTTGAAAGTTTAATTCTGTAATAACCAAATAAAAAAAGTTATTCTCAAAGGCAGTATCCTACAGTTATAGCTATGTATTGACTTTGTAAATATCCATTAACCTTTTTAATATGTTAGAGGACCTACAGGAAACCAACAAATTACACTATTGCACATTTTAGTAAGAACGAGTTTGGCTAAAACAAACCAAATACAGTGTAGATGTAGCATCTTTAGCTAGCGCTAGCAAAACAAATTGGAAGTAAACACACGAGCCTCCACAAATAAAAGCACCACTCGTATTTAAAAGACATATTCACCTTCGTCAGCTCATTGTCTGTATTATTTTTTGAATATTCATTCCAGAAACGCATGTTCTTATATGCTGTTGACTAGCTGCGTAGCTGGTACCTAGCTACCTATGTAACAAACTAGCAAGCTAACATAACTATTGTGTCACCTGTGTTTAAGTTACGGTAGAAGTTAGCAGAGCTGACATGACCACATACAGTGTTGCTATGATACCGTGACTCGCGAGCAGCACCAGTATTCATTCACACAGTACATACATTTAAAACAGTTGTGTTAGCGAAGTTAATACGAAGAGACCATTATTACTTTTGTAAGTGTGTTTAGCCTACCCGGTGAGACAGCAGAATGAAGCGCTTTAATCAAACAGTTTCTGAGACAGCAAAGTAAACTGGGAAACTAAAAAGTTTCGCGGCAATTTTAAGGTACACTCGGTTTGTATCACCAGGCATCCGCAGCACGTAGTTGTCACAGTGCTCAATGCAACTCCCCTGACACTTTGTGATCTAATTTAACCACAATTCACCTAAAAGTATTAAATTTACAACATCGTTTGGTGGGTATGTAAGATAAATGATAGAGTTATCAGACAAACAGCGTACATGCGTGCTGCCATAACGCAAAAAAAAAAACAAAAAAAATCCAGCGACGACAAGACGTGACATATTTTCAACACCCTACGTGTCGAACGTGAGGCGCTGACGCACTCTCCCAGCCTGGTGGACTCCGCTGCCTCTCCTTCACTCCGCCACAAACACTAGCTACTTCACCCTCGGTAGAGACAACGGCCGTGCACCGATTGTAAACCAAAGCGGTAAGGCAACATCAGATAATCTGCAGTATCCTGTCCAACACTTACCGGTTTGCGAAAAAGGAAAAAAAAAAAAAAAATGTTAACCGGATAGTTGTAATCATGTAACACGAGCTAGTTAGCAGTAAACATCTCTCTTGCTAGTCCGTGACAGCTCAGTGCGCCGGTGTTTGGCCGTTTTCAAGCGTTAGCAAGCCACAATGCCAGGTACCACTCGTTAGCCTAGCCCCGACACGATCCAACGCAAACGTAGCTCATTATGTCGCCTTGCTCTTCGGCTAAAATACACGCCTCGCGAGCAGACATCGTGTCCAAATTGCAAGCGGCCATATTTAAATTCAGCGTTCGTCCGAAAAACCAGCCAGCAGTTCTTTAATAATACAGCAGAATTCAACAACTTTCAGGCCTGGTTCGTCTGCTCCTCTCTCAGCAATATGCGGCAACGAACAGTGTGTACTAAGGTTAACTGTTTAGCCGTTTTCAATAAACTAACATTTAATTGAATTGCTGCGCTGCTTAGTTAAATGTCTTATCAGCCGAATTTTAGTTAAGCCTATCAATTATCAGACTTGAATGTTACGTGGTGTCCGCGGTTTGCAGGCTTGTCGATATCAAGGAAACATTACATGGCCAAATTTGTAATGGAGTCTGGTGTAACGGGCTCGCTGTGGAGTAGGGAGCAAAAAACTCAGTGTAGCATTTAAGTTCCAGTGCTTTAATTGATTGAGTCATACCCTTCCTCAAAATGGTCTGTTCTAGTTGTGGTGCATTCATGCCTGGTACTTAAAATAAAATAAAAAAATGTTAGATGGGAGCATAAAAAAACATGTCACTCATTAATAAGTGAAGCACACGTATTAATAAAATATATATAACGTTGTGCACCTTTAAGGAACCAAGCCGGGGGGGTTTACCAAATAAGGGCAAAGAGGGTTAATGTGTTTAATTTATAAGTACCAATCACTATCAGTGAATTAGTGTCATACCAATAAATTGTAAATTTAATTATAATTAATGAAAGATAGGGTCTAAATTTGCTTCTTAATTCATTTATTGAGAGTATATGTTTTTTTAATATAACAGCTGAGTACAATTCTGTCACTGTTAGTTACTGTTACTGTCAGAGAGATAAAAGCAGCGAAACCTGCCTTGAACTACATGTATATCAGTAAGACGCCATAAATTATTAACCTAATAACTCATTTTGGAGCTTGTTTACCAGCAACCCATATCCTCTACCATTCTGATGCACTAACCTGACCATAGCCGTGGTAGAGATGGAAGTGAAAGCTTCCAAGTTGTCACCACAGAGGCCGAGCATTCAAGATGGTATCATTTTCATTAAGGTGCCAGCGGAGCCTGGTGGGTGGAGAGTGGATGCTGGTTCAGTCCCTGCGGCTGCTGTTTTAGAGAGTGAAGACGACTGTGTTCATCTCTACAGGGCTGGCAACTGTGCTGTCCGGCAAAACAGCCTCTATTAATGCTGTGTGTGTATACTATAAGATGCCATTTTGCATTCCATAATCAGTATTTGTGTAAGCTACAGTCATTTGGAAGTCGTCGATCTGGTTGTTCGTATGTTGAAATGATATATTTTAACGTGGTTTTCCTGGGTGAGGTGAAGTGTTTTAGGAAGTGGTAAAAGCATGTCTCAAATTGCTCTCTAGAGATTGCACACCCCTCTAAAGGCTTAAAATAAATGCTAATAATTGTTTGCTGAAACTGTTTCACCCGCTGCTGCTCAGGCCACTGCAGCCGCGACTCTGTTGACCATTCATTACACAGGTTAGGGCATATTTTGAGCTGATGACATTATCAGATATTGAGGCTAAGGATGCTGTGTAATAGCTTTCACCAAAGATGTGGCCCAATGACTAAATAATTCATCGCCTTCCAGAGGGAAAAATCTCCCTTTCCTATAATATTTGGTCAGGGCCATTAAATAATTCATCCGCCTATCCATAAATTGTTTGTTCAATTGGTGACCTTTTCATGGGATTAAGGAAGCATAATAATAAATTCTTCAGAGACCCGGCATAACGAATGGTACAATTATGAGGAAGGATTGGATCGGATCGGTTGTCGCAGCCTGGTGTTGGTTGCTAAGTGACAGCAGGAACTTTTCCGCCCACTGTGTTTGCTGTTAAAGTCTGAGTGACTGAAAGGACAAAAACAATCACATTATGGCAGTCTAGACTTGGGCTGCGCTCAGGACCTGTTTGCGACTTCCTATGTCTTTGACAGCCTGTCAGTCACTTAGTGATGAAAGCTTCATGAAGTAGATTATTTCAGGAGCACAGTTATGGCTCTTTTCCACGCTCTCTCCCCTGCATGTACAAAGTAGACAGAATACTTGATCTTTAATGGAATAAACAAGGAAAGCGAGTACCGGTGGAGGCTGTGATCCCTCATTGTTTTAACTATTAAATCCTCTAAAGTCATGAAAGGCAGATTTAGATTGAGTGGAGGAGGTTAGGGGTGTGGTTTCATCATACACAAGCTTGCTTCTTTTCTTCACGCAGTCAGTTTTCTAACTGATCCACCAATAAGCTTATCTTAATGTGCCTAAAGCAAAATGTTATATTGCAGTATTTCACTTTTCTGTTTCAGCAATGGGTGGTGATTCAGGTGGTGCCTGCTTCTCTGAGGCAGTGGGATTAGCTGTAGCCTTGTCTTCCTGCGTGAAAAGCAGGGTGCCAGCTTTAATGGGAAGGTAGCCCAGTGAACAGCTCGGCCTCTCAGCGGCCAGCGCCTCCCCATCGACTCTCCACCTGGTCTTTGAGCACCTAGCTGGCCACAGACATGTCGCTCCTGTCCCCTATCCTCTCCTCCTCCCTGTTTGTCGCCTCTCTTTCTCCTTCGCTTCCTCTTTTGCCTCCTCTGTGCCTTTCTTCGCCTTTTCTCTCTTGCTGCTCTACCACCCACCCTCCCATTTTTCTCATCTTCCTCTATTCTTCCTCTCAGTCTCCTTCTATCTATCCCATGTCCCTGGCTGCCCTTTCCTCCTCCTCCTCCAACCCCCGCCTCCATCCTAAAGCAGAGTAGCTAATGAAGAGCCCCATTTAGCCGGTGACTTTGGTTCAGTCAGCGCTCCGTAGCGCCGGCCGGCCTCGGCTGCCGTGACTGGCTGTTCAGGCTCTGACATCACACAGGGGCCAGCTGTTGATTTGGCGCTGTCTCCAAGGCTGGCTGGCTTGATGGCTTGTGGCAGGTAGACTTGTGCTCGCACAGCACCCTCCCTCCCTCTCTCTCTCTCGCTCTCTCTCTCTCTCTCTTTGTGACACCCACTCTCCCTCACCCTCTTCCTTTACACTCCCCTCTCCCCGTCTTACACTCTCACTCAGTCGAGCGAGCATACAAGAGGCAGCAGGCAGCTGCCGAGGAGCGAGCTGGGAGGCGACTCCAGCCTCCTCTCCAGCAAATTGCGCCTCCTGTACAATGGAAACTAAACGGTCGGGTAGCAGAAGGGATGGAGGGCAGAGCTGCCGGGCAGGTAGGTCCTGCAGCTTCCAGCCACTTCGCTAGCGAGTGGGCATGGATCTCACATGCCTTTTCCTGATTTCTAATTTCCTCTTGTAGTTTTTTTTTTTTTTTTTTTTTTTTTTTCTTTTTTTTTTTTTTTTTTTTTTTTGCCTTTTTTACATTTTCTTTGTCTTGTGCCTTTTTGAGGCTGTAGATTTTTCTGCTGTTTATTGCATACATAAAGTGAACACATGTAGAAACTGGCATGAGAAAATCAGCTTTTCTGTGTCTTTTATCGTCGCATGGCAGCAAGTCGGTAAGCAAGTGTGCAGTCTCTTTTTCTTTTTGTCCTTTGGCTTGTTAGACTAAGCATAATGTGAGATTTGGTGTGCTGTCAGTGCTGTGTTACTCAGTGAGCCGAGCCAGAGCTTTTCGAAATCTCCTCGCCGGTTTGCCAGTGCTGCTTCTGCTTTTCATTACCAGGATAATTAACCAAGATGAGCCAATAAGAGGCTTCGCTCCGCATTGTTCTCCAGCCAAGCTCATCCTCCGTCTCCCCTGTTTCCCCCTGTTTGTTCTGCAGGTGTTGTCTGCAAATGGACTTTTAATGACTCTGGCAGACTTTTTGAGTTATTCCTCTCTCATAAGGCTCCATAGCTTAAAACTGCTAGACTTGCATGTTAGTTTTCAGTGTTTATTGTTTCTCCTCTAATTACCTAGATTGATATTCCCTGGAAGCTCTCCTATGGGATAGGTAATGGATTACCTACATGCTCTGCTGTGGATTTAATTTATTAATGCTGGCTGGCTGCACCGCACCGCGCTCACACCGCCTTGTGCGACCTGGAGGCAGAGCGAGCAGCGCAATTAGAGGCTCATTTGTGCCTGTTTATGTTTTTTTTGTTAATTCAGTCTGAGCTATTACAGGCAGTTCCTTAAACTGACTCTGCCTCAGTCGCCCTGAAATTGAGGCGAGCAGTGAAAGTGGTATAATTTCATAGGCTTTACACTAATCGTTTTTTGGTTCAATTATATAGCTCCCTTGTCAGTGCTTTTCTTGCTTTGCAATTAGGAGAAATGGCTAGAAAATGGGAGATTAGTTACTCAGTTAAGCAAAACACTGAAATCAATTTTATTGC